ACTCCCTTAAGTGAAAGGAATCAATACAGATTTTTTACAGAATAGGTATATTGATGGAGCAAAGGTGACATGTTCTGAAGCTTTCTGAAGGAAATATGTGGACTGTGTATTTCTTTGCAAACATAAAGAAGTAGTCACAGTGTATCATCTCGTAGCTGGAAAGCAATCTAATAAACAATGTACTTTTATGCAGTTGTGTTGAGAACTGTAAAAAATAACAATTTTTTTCTACTTCCTTATATTAAAGAAAAAATCAGAAATAAGAGCAAGAAAATAATAGTTAAAGTCATTAGGATCTTATGAAATCCATTATCTTCTAAATACTTCTTTTCCAGTCATTTCTGCTAGAAGGGTAGAAAACAGCTAGTTAGTTAATGCAGAATAGGATGGAAGATGTTAAAAATATAATCAAAAAGAGCCTTTCTTCTGGCTTTCTTCTTTTTAAAATACTTTTTCTAACTTTTTTTTTAACTTCATGAACAAATCATTTTTTCATGTGTTCAGTTGTGATTGAAGAGTAAAATGGTACCATTTCCATTAGATATTGTAAGCAAAAACATTGTTCTACTTAAGGATTTAATTCTTGAGGAGAAAAAAAAAAAAAAAGAAAGAGATGGAAAATTTGTTCTATTCCTGCTTGTAGAAGCTGAGATTTTATATTGCAGTCTCACATTTGGCATGAGCTGGCACATTTGCTGGCACATACTAATGGTATAATGAGACTTAAGAGGCTCTTTCAGCCTCATTAAGTCGGGGCTAATGTGTTCAAGCCTACTGCTGGATGCACACAGCCTGCTGCTGGTGGCATCCACAACTCAGAATAAAAGAGAACAGTGCAGTTTTCCTCACTTTCAAATCACTATGGCTATGTAGAATCTGTGCCAATTTGGGCAGTAGAGATTCCCTGTGGAGAACCTTTCTCCAGAAATCTAGATTCCTCCCCTTCAATGTTCTGTCTGTAAATCCATTGCTCTACTTTATTATACTTTATTCCTTTTTTTTTTTTTTTTTTTTTTTTTAACATCTAAATCTGTGCTTCTGCTCTGAAGCTTCCCCATAAAGAAACCTTCTGAGGATTAATTCCTGTGCCAACAAGAAGGAGGAAAAAAACATATTATTTCTTGTACTTTACCACAGGGGATCCTAAATTAAAAGCTTGATATATCATCCTAGATTGGCTCAAAGAAATCATGCCAGCTTGGAAACCCACAGACATTTGAATGCTGAGAAGCTGACATGCACTCTCTGACCGCCCATCCAAATCTTATCTGTGGATAAACTCAGTGCCTTGGACATGGGCTGGGGATGGTTGCATAGGAAGGTGTCACTAAATACTGCATTAGTTTTATTAGTGTATACATATTAGTATAGGATTGATGCTGATGAAGTCACATTAAGGTTTGTTTTATCTTACACATTGGAGATTATTATATCCCTTACATTAGGAAGGTCAGGTTATGTTTTCAGACACCAGTGAATGTGAAATAAGTGCTAGAAGGGTCGTGTCAAGTAATGAAATGTGGCATTCAGAGGACTGCCTGATAAGTGAATCATATGTACATGTGCAGTTTGGATAGTTCAGGTATAACAGAATGTGTTTGTCAATGGAAGGAGATATCTCCACATTCCTGGATTTCCAGTCTCTGATTGCTGTGATTTGCTTTGTTCGCAGTGTGTTTTTAGCATTAAAAAGGCTTTTGTGATGTTAACAATAGATACAGCACAAATATATATATATATTTTCCTTCTGCAAGATCAAGTCATTTTCTCCAAAATATTGGTATTAACTTTTATGTGGGGGGTTAGAAGGATAATTAAAGAGTGCTAATCTAATTTTCAGTAAGCCATATGCTGTGCACATCAAAAATTCCTGGTCACTGGGAGCTCCAGAGTGTGCACTTCAATAATAGTTGTGGGGAGAAAGTTCATTGATGCTTTTGTTCTTCCTCAAAAGAGAAGAGCTGTTCAACCATATCATATTTCTAATAGTAGGAATAAACTTGTTATTGGTGTTATCATCCTAGGAAAACCAAAATCAAGTTCACTGACCTATAAGAAAGGATGGACAAATGTTACTCTTGCATCATAAGTAATGGCAGTTATTTGCATGTATAATATATTATTATGTTCACTTTGATTGCCATAGAAAAATATTAATATTCACAAGGATCTGTCTGTGACACTATTCTCCTTAGAGACTTCACTGCCTTGAATGCCTCGGTAAATTCACAAAGCAGGGAATAAAATATGTTTCAAAAAAAAAAATTGTAAATATTTAAATCATTTTTTCCAAAATCTGACAAAAGGGAAGGTGGAAGGCCTTGCAGCATTTTTTAAGCCACTGCACTTTCTAATTAACAGCATTTAGATAGTGAATTTTAAAATAATAATTATTATCATCCCTAGATGATTGTGTGGTAAATTTTGTTAAGTGAGAAGAAAATAATTATAGATTATAAATTCCCTCCCCACTTGATTGGGGCCTCTAGTAGGCAATGAACTATAAGCTTCACCTCTGAAAGAAATAGAGGTAATAAATCATGAGAGTCTTTGTTTTAGGGCAGTATTCTACTGAATTCAAGGGTTTACCTTCCATCATAGACACGGCATTGAGTCTTCATAAGCCACTGGCATTTCATAAGGTGCTCCCCTTATCAGCAACTTGATGGAAACAGAGTACCCTTCTGATGCCTTAGAAAGAAAATTATCTTTACAAAGAGGCTAAAAAATCCAGTCAAGTAATGGATTTCTGTAAGTAGCAGTTATGGAAAATGAATATCTGTTGCTATTTGCATGTCAGTCGTAGTTTACTCACTATTATGTTTATTCTAACTGAAGCTACAAGGGAGGACATTACATTGTGCAATCAGTATGCTCACATTCACAGTGTTGTGCTGGAAACTGCTGCCTTTCCCGGTTTGTCTGTGCTTTTCTATCATATCAAGTATACAGTTATGAGATGGTTCAATTTCATTTTAGAGCTGCCAGACATTACAGTAAAGTTAATAACCCACCCAGGAAAGAGGGTGAGGAGTAGCTTCTCAGGCATGTTACAAAAGGTCAGTCTGAGAATTTCAGAGAGAGCAAAGGGTCTGAAATTTAATGGCAGTATGAATGAGTCTCCCAGGTGCTTTTGAAAATGTCAATTAATGTTTACATAAAGACATTTTTAAATAGAGTAAAACAATTGATTTTTCAATGACTGAAGATACATTTCTGAAAATTATATGGACAATTTTCATATACATTTAATGACTCCAGTTTCATTTTAAACTCTTAAGCACAGCCTGTAGTTCTTGACTGAATGTTTAACTTTTGCTGAGCAAAACATGAAATAGAAATATTACCGTAAATAAAGGCATGTAGGAAACCATTTGAAAGCTATCATGTCCAAGTCAATCAAAACATCATATCTTTCAGTCATCAAAGGTATTTTTCATCTTTCTGTCAAGCTATGTAATAATCAATACAAAAATTAAGTAGGGTTATGTATCATATTTATCAGTAAAAATCATATTCTGTTAAGAGTTCTTTCAATCATTAGTTCTGTAGTAAAGAGATAGCTCAGTCCTCTTCAGGACTGCAGAGTTTGCCTTTGTGTTGTATCCAGCCTGTCAAAAATTCCTCTCCAAGAAAAAACATGTACTTCTAGCTAAATATGTTTTGCAGAAAGTACATATTTACTGACCATTTTATTTTTAATGTGGAGTAAATATCCAGTAATATTTTTTGTTTTGAGAGTTTTGCCTTCCAAAATGTTATTGTCCCGCATTAATCTAGTAATTTGAAAATCTAACGTGACTAATTTTTGATAAATTATCTACCCTTATCTGTAGAAGATGCTAGAACAAAAACCTTGATTTTGGGTTAGTGGAAAACAAACAAACAAACAAACAAACCACACCTCACAGGCTTTAGAAACAGAGACAAGTCTTATTTTCAGTTTATATACAGTTTATAAGATGTGGGCTGAGAGCCCGATCTATGAATTTAGGAAGACCTTATCTATATTCTGTATTCTATATTTGCCACCCTGTTAAAGTCAGATGGAACATGTCCCTGATCACATCATAATAATATGTCAAACATTTAAATACAGGAAAATTGATAAAAGTTTTGGTTGTTTTCCATTATCAATTTTTGAGAAATATCCCTTCTATTATTAGTGAGAAGAAAATTAATCTGAATAGAGGCCAAAATATGTTGGCCAAGCAAAAACAGAAAGGCTGATCTTTTTCAAGGGCAGCAAGTAATACTTACATTACAAATGTTTGTGCTATTCCTGAAACAGGCCTGATCCTGCACTGCTGAGATCAAAGGATGTTTTTCACTTCAATTCCTTGAAGAAAGTTTTAAGTGAAGGAATAGAACAACAGCAAAAGAACTAGTTCTACATTTCGGGTAGTTTGGTCAATAAGCAATAAGCAAACAACATAATAAACGAGCATATCTAGGCTTGATCAAATGCTTCTATATTTTTTCAACTTTTTTTATTTTTATTTTTAAATAAGCTATGAACGGTGATGAAGAACTGAAAAAAAAAATTGACTTTGGAAACAACAAAAATCTATTGTCAATGAAGCCCGGTCAGGAATATCAAATTAACTATTCTTGCATAGTTTGTATTGACTTTTGGATTTTGCGCTGTCATAAATTTCAAAATGGATTGAAAATACTGATTAATTTAATATATGATCTTCCTTAAAAACCAAAGCTGTAAATAATTGTGCCCATTAAAATAAGGACTTATTACATGACTGAATAACGGCAATGCTGGATTTTTATGAGCTACGCGTAGTTACATATTATATGAAAAATTTGCATTCAAACCAGGAATTGCATTGAAACTACTGTGTTATTACTAAGTGTCTGATAAACGTTTTTCTTCTTTGGTTGGCCTTAGTTGAGTTCAAAGATTTTTTTATTTAAAAAGTGTTGCAGTTTTGAAGTGATAATGGCAACTGAACATACTTGCAAACTTCCTGTCTTTACTATTTCAGAGCTTCAAGCGACGAAGACCTCTGAATATCACAGAATATCACACAGTCCTCTGGATTACAGGATATTATTAATGGATGAAGATCAGGATCGGATCTATGTGGGCAGCAAAGATCACATTCTGTCTTTGAATATCAATAATATAAGCCAAGACCCTCTTAGTGTATGTATTTATTTTGAGAATCCAAGATTTCCTTACTGTATGCATTTCTTTTTCAGACAAAAAATGTGTATCTCATTAGTTTGCATCAGGCAGAAGTCCAGACCCACACCTTACTGAGCTGTTAGTACTTGTTTTATGTGTAATGCAAGATGAACAAGCTGCTCCTCAGCCATTGTTTTCAACTGTTAACTTGTTTTGAAGTGATGTTCACCATGGCTTGGCCCCATAAGGAAAATTTATATGGATTGATAGTTTCCACTCCTCTTGAAGATTTAAGATAATTCAGAGATGCAGTTTAAAAAAAAAAAAAAAAGAAAGAAAGAGACTGTAAGGAAGAATATGGGATGTGCTATCATTTTCAGGTGAAAGGGAAAAAGCAACAGAACAGAGATGACTTTAACCTGCAACTACGTTTGTTTCTGTTTTTCACTCCCAAACTTACTCTCTGAACTGCTTTTCAGCCTTTGTTATGGCTGTGTTGGACCTTAGCCTTCAACTGGATAGCTGAGACACCACCAGCTTGGTGTTTTATGGACAGTGTGACCTTCAGCACACTCTTTTTGTGTCTGTTTCTCTCACTTGCTGAGATGCCATTTTCTGTGATCTCTCTGTGTCACAACTCCTCAGCCCGTACTAGGCACTGCTTTCATTAAAGGAATCAAATTAATAGTGAAACATTTTGAGACTCCTTTTTTATTTCCAGAGGTAAATCAAATCCAGCATTTCTGTTTTTAAAATAAGCAGCCTGCAGAAATATTTGTGTGTCCATAAAGTGGACTGTTGAGAAATTACTTCTCTACAGACTTTGCCTCACCTATTTTCAGGTTATTACACCTGCACCTTAAAATGTATCCTTATATACCTCGTTATACCAAAATAATCTATGGGCTTTATTATTGAGCTTCAGGGCAGGGCTTCGAGGGCAGGGCTTCGAGGGGCAGAGATCCAACTTGGGGTAGGGAAGTTTGATATTTAAGAGTCAAGGCTTTGTTTTGTCAGCAGAGAGATAGGAGGCCCTACTGAAGGGTGATTAAGAGCACTTGAATTAGGCTTTGCTCTGAATCACCCTCTGTACACTCCTGTCTACCTGAATTTACTGTGTGGGGAGTCTGATCTGCCTGACTCTCTAACTTACACATTTAAATTGAATCCCATTTGTGTGTTGGTATGTTTATCTTCCTTTTGCTGGTATGGAAATAAACATCTGTAGTGGAGATACGTACTTTGGTTGGAAGTGGCTGCTGTGGCCTTCTTGCTAGTTTAGATCTCACAGTGATTCTGCCAGCCTGGTCTGGAAGTGGACATGTTATGCACCGCATACTTTTAAAAGGTTGCTTCTGACTTTGTTCAGAGTTTGGTAAGGTACAAAGGCTTTTATGGCATAAGTTCTGCATTATAACACTATGAAATATTTCGACAGTCAATCTAAACATTGAAAACCCAAAATAAAATTTCTGAAAATCAGAAAGAAGCAAAATACCCAATGTTTTCTGTCAGTGATTGCGATCACCCAATATCATGCTCATAAACAGTCTCTGCAGTTCCACACATTCTTTCTCTAGTTGATTTATTGTTATAACAAATTCACTTTATTAATTTTACGCTATTTTGAAACACTATATACATATGCTATATACATATGAACCTGTAACTCTCTGCGTAACGTATGTATATTAAAATATATATTTTTACGTGTAGAGAGAAATTTTAATGCTATTATTTATGTTATCTTGAGGCTGAATGTTATCAGATCATGTCACTTATTAAATTTACAGATGGAAATTTCTAAGGGATGTCTTTTCTACACCAAAATCAAGATAAATAACAGAAGACATAAGTGTTTAAGTATAGCTCAGATAAATATTCAGACATAGTGATGTTTGTCAAAATGCTCTCTGTGTTGCAGGGAATCTTGAAAAGAAACCAAGAAATCAACCAGAAATCTTAAGTTTTTAATCAGGATAAGATACGCAAAAACCTTTACTGAGAAAAATTAAGATTTCTGATAAGAATTGTTTTTATTGTGTTTTTGACTTCAAGTTTTCACTGTTAACAATTTATAGAAGTTCAATAAAGTAAAAAAAAAAAAGAGAAGGATGATGATGATGGTGAAGAAAAATAAATAAATTGATTAACTTATAACTTAACTTATTAAAATATAGCTTCATTATAAATTAATTATTTAATATATAATTGTAACTTGTACCTGCCAAATATCTGAGTTTTTATTTCATTTACTGCTTTCTGAGACAGAAATTATTTATAGGTGAAAAATCTTCTAATCAAAGTGTAAAAAATATCAAAGTATTAACTTATTAGTGCAAATTCTGCAACTCTTTGTTTGTTATTTAAATCTGCAACTTTTTGTTTGTTATTTAAAAAATAAATTATGTAATAATTATGTTACTTAATTTTATTATTTTTCCTCATAGATTTTGTGGCCAGCATCAGCAAATAAGGTTGAAGAGTGCAAAATGGCTGGCAAAGACCCTACGGTAAGTTACACTCTACACACATATCCGCATACATACATGAGTTACATTCTTGGCAATAAAGTCAGAGCAGCTCAACTGCAGCCAAAAGCAAAATGAAACAAGTGTTTATTTTTGCATTTTAAATTCTCTGCAGACCAAACGACAAACTGGAATTATGAAAAGCCAAGCTTTGTAAACAGAATGCACCTTCAGATTTTGACAAACTGGAAAAAAAAAACTAGTATGCTTTACTGGGAAAAGTAAAGGTGGTCTCTGGAATCATTTGAAACACAGACTATGGAGAAGTTATGTTGATTTATTTTGCATTGCAGCTGATTATTCTCCCATCTACATGCAGACACCTTCTAAAGCACCTACATTGGATGATAATTTTCCATTGCTCTCTTTATAGAAAATAGATGGAAGTGAACAATTCCGAAAAATACCGTAGTACAATACAGCAGATCCTCTCTTTTTGGTAGAGGTCTATTTGAACACAGTTATCCTTCTGAAGAGATTTCATCTCACAGTCTATAACACTGATAGGACAAAGGGGGATGATTTTAAACTGAGAAGAGGTTTAGGTTAGATATTAGGAGGAAGTTTTTCACACAGAGGGTGGTGACAGGTGGAACAGGTTGCCCAAGGAGGTTGTGGATGCCCCAACCCTGGAGGCATTCAAGGCCAGGCTGGATGTGGCTCTGGGCAGCCTGGTCTGGTGGTTGGTGACCCTGCACATAGCAGGGGGGGTGAAACTAGATGACTTTCAAGGTACTTTTCAACCCAGGCCATTCTATGATTCTATGATTTTATAGACAAAACTGTAGATTTTGTTGACAAAAGAAAAATAAGTTTTTTAAAAAAATACAGAAAGTCACATTTCTATGTAATCTAACATCTTTATTTATTATAGTTATGCTTTATTATTGTTAACTAAACCTACATGTATGACTTGCAATGTTACTATAATTCTGATGAGTCTGTTTTGTAAGAAAAATATGGTGGTGTTTTTTGCTTTTTATATTTAAATTTATTGCAGCAGCTGGTATAGGCACCAGAAGGTTGGCTTGCTGGACTGTAGCTGTAATACAGTTTCTTTAAAACTGTACTTAGTAATTCACTATAGTGATCTACAGCTAGAGAAGTTCCAAAAATAGAAGCTTACCTGAATTTTCTTAATGTCCTCCGAATTTTGGTACTATATATATGTATACAGTTCTGAAAAATAGTTCCAAAATCAGTGATGTACCTTATTGAAAGCTCACTGAGATAATGAGAAAAAGAGAACCCAGGTCTGAATGAATCTTTGCAACTTGAAATTTATAGTCCACTTTGAATAGAGTTCTTGTGTATTTCATTCCTGATAAGATTAGGAGAAGCAGAGAATGAATTCAGAAGTCAAAGCGTGATAGCATTTGGCTTGTCAGAGAGTTGCAATTATCAAAAGACAAAAGAGAAACAGACAGTAAAGGACTTCAATCAGACAGCAAATTATTTTCAAAGGTGGTTAGGGGAGGGTTCGTTTCCACTACCATTAGACAAGCACTGATTTATGCATTTTCTTTTTTATTACTAAAAAGAAATTGTCACTTCCAAATAGTAAGCTCACCAAGATAACTTGGATGCTTAATTTAGGCTGACATCTATTTCTCTCCATTTACTGTAATGAGATTCTAGGACATAGCTACTGACAGTAACACAATTCACCAGACTGTTATTGAGTGAGTATTGGTATCAGCTCCAAGTGAAGAATGAGTGATATGTGAATATATAGAGCTTAACTACCAGCTTTGACAAACAGCCGTCCTAGGAACAACTATTTCATGTCACCTCAGACCCAGATAACTTAGAAGCAAGAAGTAATATCGTCACAAGGAAAAATAAAAATAGTTTTTGAAGAACAGTTCTACACAATATTTTCTAACACAATAATCTCTTGATGGATTGTGGAGCCACAGTACAGTGCAGTACTCAGTTGAATTACACAGCAGATGGGCTTCAGTAGGTCAGTAATGGAGAAATGGGCAAAAGCTCACAGAAGATCGTAAAATGGACTTCCTGCCTGTGAGCATTAAAACATGATAATGTTAATGTTGAGCCAACTTCTGTTACTTGTCCATAAATCATAGTAGAAGACACATGAAAATACACTGTGTATCAGATGCAACCTCAGAGGGCTGTCTTTAATGAAATCCTTAATTCATCTAACCACCGTTGCGTTTTTGCCATAAACACTTCTAAAAGTACATGGCATGCAATTGGTGCAAAGTACCCCCCATCCCAGTGCTGTTCATCTAGCCATTGGCTCCTTGCCCTTCTCCCTGAGGACCTTTCTTCTGAGGTTTCTGTACTCTTTTCCTAGGGCTCTTCTGCAAAAACTTTTTGCAAACAGCAAGAAAAGAAAGCATCAGTTTGCACTCTGGCATACATAAGATGGTGCTATACCTTCACTTCTCCTTTTTCCTTTTCTACGGGCATAATTTGGATTGGTAGTACTGCTGAGAGAAACCTATTTTCAATAGCGAGACACTACTAAAGCCTCAGACCCAAACTAAGATAGTAAGATATGAGAGAATGGAAACTTTTAGGAACACCCTAACTATAGAGAAATAATAAATTTTGACCAGGTTAAAGGATCTTTCTTATATAACTAGAGCAAGCACTTCACTGAGGGCGTGCAGTGTTCCCTGCAGAGAAACTAAGAACACTGAACTGCTTATAATTATGCACCAATTTTCAGAGGTTCTTGTAGAGTGCCAGCTTCTACTGAACCAGAAATGTGAATGGCTTTAAGTGTAAATGAATTGTTTGAACAAGGATTAATTCTACAGATTTTCATGAAGATGATTGATGACTGTTTCCAATCCTATGCTCAAAAAACACATGTGATTCTCACTGTCTTTGATGAAGATTTGGATGATTGAATATGAAGGCAAGTCTGAGATCTCAGTAAGAAAGTATTCAAGAAAAAAGTCTATTTTTAGTCCAGAGTGCATTAACAGTGGATGACTTTGTAAAAGGGAAGAGCAAGAGAAGAAAAGGGTATGTTGGAAGGAGAAAACTGTAGAACTGATAGTGTGAAACTGTGTGGCACTTAGCAATCTGTTTCAATTTTCCTGCTGATTTGAATATGTTATTCTGATTGATCTTCAAAATGAAGCAACAATTCACTGCAAACTTGCTTATGTAATGTGTTGTTCAGAATTCTGATCATTTGGAAATAAATTGGAGGCTCAGACTGCCACCAATCTTAACCTCTTTAATGATCTCCTCTGCATTGGTGAACAGCACATCCAGTAATGCTTCACCTCTGGTTGGTCTGTCCAATACCTGGATCAGTAAGTTTTCTTCAGCACAGTCCAGGAGTCTGTGGGTTTGTTTTCCCAATAAATGTTCAGGTGGTTGAAATCCTCTATCAGGACAAGAGCCTGGGAGTGTGATACCTCCTGTAGCTGAAACGAGAAGTCCTCATTAACAGGCTCCCCCTGGCCACCCTCAGGTGACATGTAGTAGCACCCAACCAACAGATGAGATGACCTTTATTGGACTGGTCCCTAATTTTAATCCACCAGCTCTCAGCCTGGTCATGGCTGTTTCTCTGAGGCAGCTTTTCACTATCTATCTAGATAGCAACTCCCCTGCACCTCTTGCCCTGCTTATTCCTTCTAAAAATCTTGTAGCTCTTGATTGTAGTATTACACTTGTGTAATTCATCTGACTATGTTTATGTCATAGTTTACCAATTGCTCCATAATTTCCATCTCCTCCTGCTTATTTCCCATGCATTGGTGTAGAGGCATTTCAGCTGGGCTATCTGTCACGTCACCTCCTTGGAGGGACGCTCCCAAATTCCTTTGGTACAAATTGGAGGTTTTTCCTCACTGCTTCCTAAAGTGAGTTTCCCATGGCTTTTCCCTGTCACTCAGCAGTACATCCCCTTCCCCCATCAAATCTAGTTCAAAACTCTGGCGATGAGCCCAACCAGATTGCAGCCCAGTATATTCTTGCCCCTCCTGGTCAGTTGCATCCCATCCAATGCCAATATGCCTGGTCTGTTGAAGGTGTGACTATGATCATAGTACTCAAAACCTTGAACGTGACACCATCTTTGTAGCCATTCATTCAACTGCCTGTGTTCCAGTCTCCAACCAGGAGGATCAAGGAGAACACCGTGCACCTGATCTCTTCAACACCTTCCCAAGGGACAGAAAGTCTATTTTAATGTTTTATAATTTCCTAGCTTCAGCCTCCTTTTGCAAAGGAATTATGCTGCATCCAAATAACCAAAAACCCACTAACAATGAAAAACAACTGGGAGGTGGAGGGAAAGAGAAGATACTGTTGTAGATGTTTCTTTAAGGAAACTTCCTAAGATTATTTCTTGCTTTCCTGTGGAGGCCCCTGCTTCTTCCCATTAGAGAAGTCTTTGGATGAAAATCAAAGTGTTGAGATGGAGAAGTTACAGATACTATTCTAACTGCTCCTCTATAATGCCCTAACAGTGCCTGATTCTGAGCCTAGAGAAAATGACAAGAAAAGAAAGCAAATGTTTGCAGATGTTCAAAATCAGAGAGTGGCAAAATTGGTAGCTGTTCTCATGATGCAACTAAAAATATGAATTGTATCTATTCCCTAGAATTCCCAATATTCACTAACATTTGCCAATGTCATTTTTATTTATTTTGTAATCCCTGCAGCATGGCTGTGGAAATTTTGTGCGGGTGATACAGTCATACAATCGCACACACCTGTACGTCTGTGGCAGTGGAGCCTTCAGCCCAGTGTGTGTGTATGTCAACAGGGGACGCAGGTCTGAGGTAAGTCTCATTTTATCTTCTCATTTTGTGCTGGATATCACTGTTTTACGCAAGCACAAAAATTTGAAAATACAAAAATTAATGAACTAGGTAGGTTAATTTACCTGCATAAAACAGAAAAAGAACAAAAGTCCATATTTTTCTGACAGCCTTGTTACGATCAAACAATCAAACTGTAGTCAAAAACCACATTCAAATACAATGTTTGTCTAAAATTCTACAGTCATATCAAAAGTTGGACTCCATACGACACTACTTTCTATTTGATGTTTTCTGGAGGATTAATTCCTAGTGTTTGTTGGAATTGACAAGAAATATTTGAAATGGTTAGTTAGATAAAAAGCTTTTTATGGTTCCCAGTTACTGATTTCTGGAAGAAGCACTTATGTGTACTAACTATATGGATATAAGGGTTTGCTGGACATCAGTTTAATATCCTTTAGATGCAATCCAAGTGTAGATAACTTTGATCTACAGCACAATTTTTGTCCCAGGACATCCTGCCAGGATGAAGTCAGTGAGTTTTCTCCTTCACTGTGAAGCCTTCCAGGGTGCAAAGTCTAATTTTCTCTCCATAGCTCTCTATTTTTTTCTATTTTCAATTTCAATGTGCATTTTAAATATACGAAGTTCCAGAAGTTTCATAAGTATTATAAAATTTTGCAGGTTTCATGATTTGCATGTAAAATGTTTGTTTATGTGCAAATGTAATAGGTAATAAAGCAACCAGAAGGAGGAAAAAAACAGCATTTAACCAAGACCCATCACCACAGTAGCTTTTGGGCCAGATTCACATCTGCAGGCACAGGGATGTACAGTATATTTTCCTGTACTACATGGAAGCAGATGTGTTGGAAAGGAAGATCAGAGAGCTACCTGGAGTTTTGCCATGTGAGGGCAGCTTTGAAGCTGGGCTTACTGCTAGGGAAGACACTGTGAAATTCATCATTGATTTCATTGGGAGTAGGATGAGGATTCTGGCCAAGATCCAGGACTACAGAGTTTGTTGGGGGGTGGATAAATGATTGTTTTTCAACATAAGTATATGTGGAATTATCACAGTGACTTTTGGTAGATCACTACCTGGCTCCAGCCTCCTTGGCAGAAGATATAATCTAAATTACTGCACCTTCAGTTCAAGTGGATTATCTGAGAGTAGAGACTTATAGACCTGGATTTAAAAGCACAAGCAAGCAGAACTGGGTGAATAAATCCATCCTTCTAGATTATGGTCTGCAATGATTTCTTTTGCTCTATTTTGAAACAGGTTTGCTTTTCTCAGCACTACTGTCCTAATCTCAAAAATTTCGTAAAACGCTAAAAGTGATCCCTCGTTAATTAATGTAAATCTTATCAGCTTAAACAGTACTGTTTTGGGAGGCTTAAAATCTCTTTGTATTAGGAATTTTGTAAAGGAGATATCTGTCAGATAAAAAAGACATGAGTTCTTCATGTACATGAGTTCTCCATGATGCAAGATGTTAAATTTCTTAAGTTAAAAATAAGGATGCATGTCTTGGAAGAGCAGAATTGGCTTCACTTAGCCTGTCTGTATAGATGCATGCCTACGATCTACGATCTACTGATTAAGTAAACTGCTGTTTCAGATGTCTGGAGTCTGTCAGACACTTGACCGTAGGCATCGCATACTCAAAGCCCTTACTGTATAGGCCAACAGTAGCGTAACAGTCTAAAATCAAGCATTTCCTTTTGAACCAGTTGCGTGCGTAAATGCATGCATAGAGAAGAATGAAGAACTACGCAGTGCTGATAGGACTAGAGAGAACTCATTCTTTGCTTTTGTCAATTCACCTTGAAATCAGTGCAGTTTTCCATGCACAGAATGCTGTTTTTGCAGGTGCAGAACTGCTATTTTAGAAGGCACATAATGTTTTTCTCTAGGTGTTACAAAACATGACACTAAGAGTCATAGCCAACAATCATAAGAACTAGGCCTGTTCTCCTCTTTTGTTTTCAAAACTCCACATGATTCCTTGTAAAAAGCAAACTGATGAAACAGAATGTTGCTTTTTTACTTGAAGCAGAGTTTAAAAAATAATTCATTTCTTTTTTCACTCTGCACTCTGCTTTGGTCTTTGATAATGACTCTTAGTCACCCAAAGATATTATGTCGAAGTAAATGCAAAGAGAAGCAAACATCAACACTATGTGAATTAATTATAGACTAAAAAGTAGTTTAATATATATGAAAATCAGGTGCAAACCTGGAGCTAGACTACTATTGCAGTAATTAACATTTTGAATTGGTAAATAGTAAATATAGATTATCATCAAGCTGCATATTCATTTAGAAGTTAAACAAGAAGAGAAAAAAATACCCAGGATTATATTAGAAATTTTGTACTTACATTTTAACTTTTGTTTTAGAGAGCTTATTACAGAAGTAATAGATAAGATCTCTGTGATTAAATTAGGCAAAACACAGGAGGGGAAAGAGAGATAGGGGATAAAGGATATGAAAACTTCCTCCCATAGCTGAGCATTTTGGGTTGGTAGTCTCCAGTTTGCTGCTTGCAGATGGCTGCACAGTGATCTGTGTGGTATTCCCATTTCACTAAGATTTACATTAAATATTAAAGACAATTTAAGGGTTTTCTGCCCTCAGTCAAATAATGAATGCATTGGCATCTACATCACAGAAACCTTTCCCTGCAGTTTTTTTCATCTAATTTTTTCTATTGAAGCAGATATATTTTAAGTTTTGTTGTTGATTTTCATTTTTTTTTTCTTTCTCCTTGCAATTTTGTCTGTCAGACCTTTATTAAAGATCTTAAGATTATTACAGAATGCTGTTTGTTGCAGTAGACAGTAGCTTGCAAGTAGGTGTGCTAGAGGTCTGTTTCTTTTGTCATTACTGACAATATTTTTCAAGGAGTGTCAGTACCAAGAGCATACTATGCTTTTCAGTGTAGCTGGCATCTGAAAAAGGAGGAAATGCACCCAGAGGGGGAGTTTTCTAAAAATATTCAGACTGCTTGCATTTCAAGCTGTAGTCCTGGTTGCTTTGACTTTGCCAAATGTATTTCCTATTAATGAATCACACAAAACATAAAGAAGGCTCCTCATAAAGATTCCTAAGCAGAAAAAATTCTGATGCAGCAAAAGATATCAATAAATCACTTATTACTATGGAACTGGAGCTGTGTGCATAATCCAAGCAATGACACTGAAAATAACATGTATAATTTAGGATTTTTTAGAGGTTTGACAGCTCAGTAGAGGACAAATGATTTATACCATCAACAAATGACAGTTGTCATAAGGGGTTTTTATATAATTTATATTATTTTTCTAGTTCCTTTATTAAAATATTGGCCTAGTATAATTAACATCACATATTCAGAAAATAAAAAATAATTTCAGAAACACAAGTGTAATCTCTACAGCTGTCATTGTAGACATCAAACAATCTCTAGAATGCATGATTGAGCTAGAGTGGAAAATTTGGTGTTTCAATGTCTTGAATTTGTAACAAAAGTCTTGAAAATAACTGGGTGCCAAGGAAAAATATTTTTATAAAGATGATGCAGTTCTGCCTAGGAGATATAAATTACTGATAGTGCAGAAAAAGCACACAGCAACACTGAACATTATTAATGTTGTTAAAATAACTTTATATCTGCAAGTTGAGAATTGACATACAAATCTATATTTCAGGAACAAATCTTCAAGATTGACTCCAAGTGTGAGTCAGGGAAGGGACGCTGCTCTTTCAACCCAAATGTGAACACAGTGTCTGTTATGATCAGTAAGTAAAAGCACTCCAAGATGCTAAGGTTTAATTCTGTATGGTTGTGGATGGTGAGGACTGGTAGCTGGTCACAGGATTTAGCCTTCAAAAAGGAGTCCTTTGTACCTATGCTGATGGGAAGAAAATTTGTGCCCACCCTCATTAAAAGTTTTACATCAAGCTAAGGATGGATGTACAAATGAAATGCAGACATAAGCTGTTAAGAGAAAGGGAAAGAGAAACAAAAAACAAAAGATTGTCCCTTTTCCAGCTTCTACATTTTTTCCCAGGCTTAGTTTCAACTTTCTATTACCCTGTCTAGCGTTTTCTGTTTAAATACTTTCTGACCCTGTTCATCACGGACAGCACTTGTGTCTCATTTAATCATTTGTAAAAACTCAGAGTAGCGAGGGAAGAAGAAGCCTGAAGACCACAATTAGTTTGATTTTCATTTTTGTTGTCATCCCTGCGGTAAAGTCCAAGAGCTATTGCAAGTCTGTTCATTCTTCAGTTGGCTTTCGACCCAACCAGTGCTGCTATTTTTCTTCCATAGGAAAGACCAGAAAGTGATACAACTGTCATATCTCAGCTATTCTTGTGAATTGGTGGTGACTGTACTCAGCAACTGTGAGATATCCCCCATAAAAATAATGACCCCAATTGACAATTGACAACCAAAGTGAAAACTCAAGGGGAACATAGGTTTTGTACAGCTCAAATCAAGGCTCAGTGCAGACAGAAGGAAAAAAAGTGTGTAAAACAGTACAGCCCAGCTTCCAGTTTCTACTGGATGTCTTGCACTATTCTGATAATGTGAAGCAAACAAGGATCAGATCCTCTTCCCATTTTTATCACCCCTGATGCAGGGTAATGCTGGTCCTACCACTGGTTCTCTCTACCTGGCATGCCACATTGCATCACATTTGTAGACTTCTAATTCCAAAGCGAAATTTCTAATCCCACATTTTCAGCATTTATCTGATCCTTGCTGTATTTTTTACAATGAAGAGAAATGGAAGTTGCATAGATTTTTGAGGATTTCTTTAGCAAAGACAACTTGGTATACACACAGATACTGGATATTTTGCCCAAGGTTTAGGAGGGAGCAATGTGGTATTTCTGCCATTCAGATTTCACTGGAATGGCTGTTACATACTGATTAACGTAGATATTTCCTTGAAATTTAGAGGATCATAGAGCTTAAGGAAAATATCATATACTCTGTCTTACATAATCTGTTTGAAATATATGGTTTTTAATTCCACATTACAAATATATTTAGTAAAGGGGACAAAGAGATTTGAACTGAAAACCTTTAGAAGACAGGAAAATTCTACCTAGGATCCCTTTGAACCTTGGCTGCACTTGAATCTTTATCTTCTCAATGATTGCTATGTAAAGAAATGCTTGTTCAGAGCCAGTGATGGATTAATCCACAGCTACTTATAGCTGCTCTGGTAGTGTTACATGAATCTTTAAATGTCATAAAAGAATAAATATAATATAAAAATTCCTTCAATATTTTATGAAAATCTACCAGCATGCATGGTTTCTGAACTACCGTATACACAGTAAGCTCATCTTCCTTTTCTTTTTTTTCAATTCAATGTATGAATAGTAGCTTTGTTCATTTTAGTAGATTTTTACATTATCTTTCTTGATCTCTAAGATATGTGCTGAAGAGACCTTCCCAGGAATTTGAAGTGTCTTTCATGACATAATTCATCTGTGAAGTTTAAATTATTCCGCAAAGGTCACATTCTTTTTCAAAACAGTCCCACAGACTGAGATTTGTACTTTCTCTTGGAAGTACCTATTACTGCAAAGATCAATTGCTGCTAAAACTTCAAGCTTGAATGAATTTTTTCTCTATGCCTATACTGGAAAAGGGAAGATTTTGGAAGTTACAGCTTGAATTAAAATACAGGACCAAGCCTATACATTGGACTCTGAACATTCTTCTGGAGGAGGAATTCCTCCCTCTTATTGTAGAATATACAAAATACTGCCAGACTGGATAACTCTTCCACAACAAAAGAACCATTTTTAAATATAGTTGCAATTTCTTGGCAATTTGACGCGTTGCCAGCTTTCTGCCTTAGCATAAAGTCTGACCCTAGATTAGGGCAGGAAAGCTGATTCACTCTTAGAAGGAAAGTGATACCATAACAACAAAACTTAAACTTGCTACGGGTTGCCATTGTACAAAGACACTTTTACATCAAAGCCACAAAAAATGTACTTTGAAGAAGCTTGGCAAAACTGATGTTCATGGTGCATGTCTCTGAGATATTTATAATAGCAGACATACATCTCCAATTGAGTTATTCCCCCAGTAACAAAAAGAAGCAGTGTGAACAAGTTGTTCTATGCAGACCTATTGCTGTGTGGAATTTAAGAGTTTAACCAAAAGGAAATGGAGCTGGCAGACATCTGATACGCAATTAACAAGCAGACATTAGGAATGCTTAAGACATAACTAATAGTGTAGATATGTAATAGGATTAACATTTCATAGTGTAGCACTATTATTAATGTGGATGTGAATGTGCATAGGACTGGACTTAATGATTCATGAATACAGTAAGCTTAATCTCTTTTCAGCCAATTTATTTCATAGTGAAAATAAAGCCTCAACGGTTTGAGGCCATGAGGCATCAAATACAAAATCAGCTATAAACTAGTATAGATGTAATGTCATTCTGTTGATATATGTTCAGGAGGTAAAGGGTTCACAAACATGCATTGTTTAAATGTCCTATGCATAAATCTTGTCTTCAATGGGAGAGAAGAGAACAGAAGATTGGGAGTAATATCTACTGGCTGCTCTACAGGGGTACAGTTTGGGCTCTAGACAGCAATTGAAAAATGGAATCTCCAGAGTTTTAATTCTCTCATAACCCAATAGTCCTTCATATTGATGCACACATGCACATACTCATATGCGTGCACAACCATAAAAATAGCCTGAAGTGCTTCTGAACCTGTGACTCTTGCCAGTTTGACCGCACTCTCTGGGTTGTCCAAGAATTCAGACAAAAACATCAATCAAACGACCCAGCTGTACTGGAATGTGTTCAGCCACCACTCCCACTCTGAGACTTAGAATTTATTTTAGCTACTGTTTTGTATTCTGGGGTTTCACTGCCATTAGTCAGTGGAAATTGTTTGGTTATTCACAGAGTGGAAAATGATAGTATATGTAATTATAATTACAATTTTACATAGAATCATAGAATGGATTGGGTTGGAAGGGACCTTTAAGATCATCTAGTTCCAACCTCCAGCTACGCAGAGATACCTCCCACTAGGCCAGGCTGCTCAAAGCTCCATCCAGCCTGGCCTTGAATGCTCCCAGGGAGGGGTCATGCACAGCCTCTCTGGGCAACCTGTTCCAGTGTCTCACCACCCTCACAATAAAGAACTTCTTCCTGATGTCTAGTTTGAATCTAGCCTCTTCCAGTTTAATAACATTTTCCATCATCCTCTTGCCCATATAAAAAGTCCTTCCCCAGCTTTCCTGTAGGCCCCTTCAGGTACTGGAAGGCCACTGTAAGGTCTCCTTGGACCTTTCTCTTCTCCAGGCTGAAAAGCCCCAGCTCTTGCAGCCTGTCCTCATAGGGAAAGTGCTCCAGCCCTCTGATCATCTTTGTGGCCACATATGTATATTTATGCACACACACACACATATATACAATCTGACTGATGGACAGTTTTCTGCCATTCACAGGGAGTGGAAGTTCATATCTCTGTTAATGTAGGAATTTGCATGTCTAATTCTGTTCATGCCTAATGACCATATGCTCAGAATTGAGCACATCAAAGGAGACCATTGTTGCTCTACGTCGTTCTGAATATAGTTCTATAACAAGATTGTCTACGCTCTGAAGTCAGCTTAAAGCTGCCTGGGGCAACCTCAACAATACTGTTGGTGGATACTGGCACCAGTCCATTAACTGAAATAGCTGTTGTGCCAGTTTACTCCAGCAATGAATCCAGCCCAATAGTTTTGTCTACTTCTATAGCAAAAAAGTTTAAGTACTTTAAAAAATTGAATGTGACACTTTTTTGTAACACTAGCCTGATTTTCCAGTGATCCTTAACTTTGAATGTTCCATAACTAAATTCTTCTCAAAGAAGGGTTCTCCACATACGTAGTTCTGCTGTGACATTTAATTATGCAGTTCCCAAAAGTCTTTGATCAGACTTTGATGATTCTCTCTCATTTTAGTTCATGTCATTGTAAACTGAGGGAAACCCTATTCCCTCCACCCTGTATTTATCTGTATAGGCTCCTGTAAAAATAAAGAGTTGACAAGTTTAAAAGTAAAAGTAGATTAGTCAACACATATTTCCCAAAAGCCATAACAGTATATTCACTTTTACTCCTCTGTTTCAATTCTTTGCAGATGAAGAGCTTTTTTCAGGAATGTATATTGATTTCATGGGGACAGATGCAGCCATTTTTCGGAGCCTGACCAAGCGGAACGCCGTGCGAACTGACCAGCACAACTCCAAGTGGCTGAGTGGTAAGCGGTCTTTATTTTACCAAGGCTTTTCAGGAGTTTCATCGAGATTTTCCTTTGTTCCATTTGAAATAAAGTGCTTATCTTTAAAAGGGCTTTTCTGAATTTAGTGTATGAAGTGTAACTGTGAAAAAATATATTCTATATACATTCTATAGACAATACAGAGCTTTAAAGGACTCAGTGCAGGAGCCAGCCACCTGATTCCTCGTTTTGCATCATGACTAAACTAAGCTGTTCAAGGGGAAATATATGAAAACTTTCAAATAGCAAGTTGTCAGAAAATGTGACTTCTAAGAAAGGGCCTTCACCTCTAGTGCATAAAATGTTGCCGTGTATTAGAAGGTCTCCCTTCACTTTCCATTATATTTTAGCACAGAAAATTGCCAAAAATAAGTGTTCTGCAGGTGCCAACACCAATAGAAGAGGTTGCCTAATAAAGCACTGCAATAAACTAGTGCATAGTCACTTGCATTTCACAATGTGCACATAAGGGAGAATGCTGTTAATAGCCCTAGTGTGTTTTGCCTCTTAAGTGCAGACATGCTTTTCAGAGATCATATACTCACTATTACAGAATTGTATTATTTTTCTCTCTCAGTAGAGCTTGTTTGCACTGTTTTGCATGTACGCTTAACTATGCTTATCAACCTTTGATACTGATTTAAATGCTATTCAAGCTTTCATATATCCTTCTCTCCTTCTCTGCACTCCAGGAGTTATGTTCCTATTACTTATGTATTTTTAAAGCACCTTATATGTTAATTTCCTAATGAGTTTTTTAAAAATTTAGTTTCGCTTTTTGCCTCAATGAATCTTTGCTGTGAAGTGCCTGTGATAGTATACTGATTCTTCCCTCTTCATCTTCTAAGTCTTTGAATTGCTGTAGTAAACTAATACTCTAGCTTCTACATATGAATTACTTTTCTAGAAATCCACTGTAGGATAAAATATGATGCAACAGAAACGTAATGCTGCCAGCTTTAAACTATTTGCCTACTGATATACAATATATACAGACAGGAGGCCAGAGTGTATAGCTTCACCTACCAGAGCAGTACCTCTATATATCGTGCTTCCTTGAAGCAATCAGTATATGTCAAATTGCTTATACTAATGCAGCTTTTGGTTTCATCTCTTTGGTACTCTTTCATTTCAGAGCCTATTTTTGTAGATGCTCATGTTATACCAGATGGCACTGACCCCAATGATGCCAAAATCTACTTCTTCTTCAAAGAGAGACTGACAGACAACAGTGGCAGCACCAAGCAAATTCACTCAATGATTGCAAGAATATGCCCAGTAAGAGCTATTTTATTTGCCAGGTTTTGGGGCAAGCTGCTTCTAAGACACAACATGCTAAATGACTCTAGTTCATTAAAATGATTGAAAGCCCTCTGATTTATTTTCAAAACTGATTTCTGGTTTCTGCTTCCACATTCATAAGAGATGTTACTGAACACATAGCAAGTTTTTACGTATATCTGGTTATATGTATAACGACACAGAAATTGAGAGATTCAAGAATTTGTATATTTCTGACTGGCTTAGAATGGTTACCAATGTTGAATTTCTAAACTTTGAATTTCTATACTTGGTGAGAGTCAGATGCATTTATTGCTTAGGAAAACTAAATTGCAAAACAGCAGTCTTTCATAAATATACAATCAAGCTTATAAATATATTGATTAAACTTTCAAATGTTGCATCCCCCTTTTTCAGTGCCTGCCCTTTCCAAGTTCATGCATTGATATATGGGTGAGCCTAACTTTAAAAATGTGCATAGAAAAATGAAACTCAGGAATTACAGCCACTCCTGTGCAGTAATTAATTTTCAATCACACTACTCTTCATTGTCTCTACTTCCTTTTTCTTATCTGTAATCAACAATGTATGAAAATTGATTGAAACAGCTTTGAGTATCTCTGGTGAACTGGATTTTCTTAATGAGAGCAAAATTACAAATGCACAGTTACTGCTAAACTTTTCATTCCTTCCTTTGGAACAGTTCAGGAAGAAAATTATGACTGTTTGTTTATTCGCCATCTTTCATCTGGATCTTCTTTAGAACTACTTTTTGATGTTGTGCTAAGGTGGGAGGGTGTATTTGGACTCTGCTAATATGGCTTTGGCAGTTTGATGACCCATGTGATCTGTTTTATAATCTCCATTTTCTATATTTTTGTGAAGGAGTCCAAAGGCCTTTTTAGGTATTTTGCAAGACATTTCACGCTATTACAGCTGTATTTGTTATTGTTACTTTTATAATGAAGCCCAGATGATTTTTCAGAGGCCTCAGCCTGTTTAGACTTATACTGAAGTCAGTGGCAGAATCCCAAAGACAATGAAAACAAGTCTGAGCCAGTATACAAATTGCATATTTGTATACTTGTATACAATCATATTCATATATCAACATATTTGGGACAGGCCACATATGCTAGTAAAATGGTGCCAAAAGAAACTCAGTGAAAGACCCCTTATGGGTATCCCCAAAAGTCTGATTACCATCTATACAAACACCAGTGAAACATGCACTGCATTTCAAAGTCACAGATGCCCAACTTCTACATTATCTTTTTTTCATTCTCTTTGGTGACATTGTAATATGCTGTTTGGAAGATGTTACCCAAAGTGTTCACCAGCAGAATGAGGCTGCACAGTATATTTTAGCACCTCCCTATTCCACTGTGTGTTGGAGAGATTCCTGAATAAGCTCTGAACAGGCTAGCTCTGGACCAAGCTATCAGGGCTTGCAACAGTGCAAAGCCAGCTTGAACCATAATAGCCATCATTTCTGAATTTAGGTCAGAGCTCTCACCTCATGGGCCGGGATATCTTAATAGATTATATGGAGCTATTCTGCTGTCAGGAGTAGAAGAAACATCCCTACATACTGTGCTGTTATGACACCAGCAATGATACAATGATCAAATACAATTCCAGATCTATGACTGCAGTTTAGCATGTAGAGTACTGTGAATATTCAGTGAACTATCTATCGATAACAAAGACTTCTCCCTTCTTAAGTATCAGTGAAGTATCAGTGAGTGATACAGATACTCAGAGTCCTCTCCAACCATATATGCACATATCTTCAGCACAGCACCTACTGCCCAACCCTCCCAAGGTTTCAGTCCAGGAAGCCTGCTCAGAAAATTTGATCTTAGTTTTTCAGTATTTAGATGAAGGGATTTGGTTTAGTCCTAGCTATTTTTTATATTGGATGTAACTGTATAAACCTCTATATGACAGGATGAAATTAATCTGAGGAAAATGTGGGAAAACCCAGTAAAATGTTATCTCTGTTGTATTTTATTTTTCCTGAAACATTATTCCTTTTCAGAATGATACAGGTGGTCAGCGTAGTCTTGTGAACAAATGGACTACATTCTTGAAAGCAAGACTGGTGTGCTCAGTAATGGATGAAGATGGAACAGAAACATACTTTGATGAATTAGGTATGACAAGAACATTTTCAAAAGGTTTTATCTAAATCCTGCACGCTATATATACTATTGTACACAGTACTGAAACTCCTGCGGCTCCTTAGTTAATAGAGAGCTGAAGAAGAAGAGACTTGGGGAGGATCTCATCAATTTTCCCACAGGGGTGGCAAAGAGAATGGAGCCAGACTCTTTCAGCAGTGCCAAGTGCCAGAACAAGAAGCAGTGGACACGGACTGAAACACAGGAGTTTCCATTTGAATACCAGAAGCATTTCTTCACTGTGCACGTGACAGAGCACTGGCACAGGTTGTCCAAAGGCTGCAGTCTCCTCCACAGAGATCTTCAAAAGCTGCCTGGATGTGGTCCTGGGCACCATGCTCTGGGTGTCCCTAGTGGACTCACAGGGCCCTACCCATTTCAGCCATGCTGGGATTCTGTGAAAATGTTGACATTGAAATGTTGGCCTTGTAGAAAGCCATGGCAAAAATCCCCTTACCTGAAAATCTACCTTTTTGTCAATCTCTCTTGGTAATTATCAGCTTTCAGAATTTCTCAGCGCTTAGCCTCTAGCCACTGTTTGTTAAGACCTGTGATTTGCAAATCTATTCCTCTTCAACAAGGCAGCAGGAAAATTACTTTCAGTTTTTTGCCTGACAAAATCTTGGAGCATACAGAGTACAAGACAATGTTCTCAGTGTGAGCTCCCAGCACAATCCTGTGGCAGTAAGAATACAGCTGCAGCTGGAAACACAGAAAAATCTGAGAGAGATTTCACATATAAGAATGTAACACTGGCAGTCCTGCATAGTGAAGTCTTTTCTTTTGACATATTGAAAAGAATGTTTAAAAATTTCAAATTTCTAATGAAGGAGCCACATAAATTAATGGAAAGCTGAAGAATGTATTCTCTTATAAATAGCTCAAGCAGTTCAGTTTTTTTTCAGTAAAATAAGCTTAAGAGCTGACTTGATCATAGTTATTAACAACATTTGTATGGAGAAACTCTCAAAGACTAAATTATTTCTAATTTAAATTTAAAAAAAATTATCAAAAGATCAGATGTGGAAGTAAGCAAGTTCAGATCAGTGAGTAGGCACAGTTTTGCACACTAGAGTTAATAAATCTCAACACAAAAGGCTGGCAGGTTTACACCTCTCACTGTCTTTACTGCAGAACCATATGCCATTCCTATGATGTTGAAAATGAGCTAAGGGTAGGGCATCTAGGTTGTGTACAGAATGATAAAACACCTAATTATCCTGCTTTGGATTATATCCTTCTAAGGGAGCTCTTTGTCTTTGACCTGCTGCCACTTAAATATTTGACTACTGCTAAACAACCTGCTGAAATGAGGTCCAGCTGAATGAAATGTGAGACATGGATACTGTGCATATTTGAAAATCTTTGCCTTCTTTCTTCACAATGCTAGATGGTGTGGAGTTAATTTCTAACTCTGCTTCTGCAAAGTTTATACATATGGTCTATTTATATGATAAATACACTTTTTTCCATTCAAGTCTGAAGCAAAACTACCACTGACCTTAGCAGGAATAAAGTCTTAATTTAAATTGGAAAATGAAGTTTTTAGTAGTGTTCAAAAAATGTGTTCTTTTTATCTGTTTTGTTTTTTCAGAGGATGTGTTTCTTTTGGAGACAGATAATCCCAGAACAACGCTTGTGTATGGAATTTTTACAACATCAAGGTAAGTGGTTCTGAACTGACCGACTTTCTGCATGAAAACTGAACAAGATGGTTTGTGGTCAAGACTGTCCTGTACAATGTTGTGTGTCTCCTGTGACCCATATCTGCACACAGGAGTAACAGTCTTAATTAGCAGCATTACCATTACTACAGTGTATATCCTGTGCTGCATGGCCTAAGCTGCTCCCTAACATGGTGACAGCTAGCACTGGGAATGCATTTTTGTGCAGGGCCACTTGTTACTGCGCAGCAGCAGAAGGCTGAAGGACTTCAAAGCAGTGAACTTGTGTAGCATCTGAAAGTGCTTAACACCTCCTGAAGAACAGGCAGCACCCTGAATGATCAAACCTGGAATTCTTACAGGAATTCATACAAATCATTTCCAGTCTCTCAGCTGGCAGACGATCGTACAGATGGCAAGTAATCCGTGTTGGCTTCAATGAGCTGTAAAAAGACAAACTTATATGGTGTTTGGTGACATCCTTGCTGCTTTAAGATACCCGTTATCAGTAGCATACACTTATTTGTCAAGTTTAGAAAGCAGTCAGTGAACTCCCAAGGGCAGTGGAAGCATTAGGTACAGCTCACTATGCTGAAACCCTCCATAAAGACAGATCTAACAAATCTACCATTTCTACATTATTTTACTTTTTTTGCTTTTTTCTTGCCCTCACCACCTACCAGTGGAATAGAGTAGAAATAGTTAGTTCTTATTAATTTCTAATATGCTATCCTGTAATTTTTAGCTGTTATTGCTTATATTCAGGGGGAGGGAGAGAGGACGTAAGTGGGAAAATTACGTTTGTAATTTAATTTCATTTACTTGATCAAATCAGCAGTTTTTAACTCATTCCTAACAATTCCTTTAAAATCAGTTTTCAATTAAATAGCCCTTGCGTGAGAAAAATATTTGATCTTGATAAACTTATTTGCCTTTTTCATGTGAATCCAGAGATCTGCATTCTCAATTGTGTGAATCAGCCAGGAAAATGTGACTTTCTAATACTGACTGGGGAATAAAAAAAATCCATAACTTGTAAACATCTGGTGCTGTCTATATTTTATGATTCCTTCTACACAAAAAGAAAAAATGCTGAGGTTATGTTTAGCAGTAAAACCACACTTATGATTAGGTTGTGGATGTAACGTGCCTGAATTGGAAACTCTTATACCTAATTCTCCTGGAATTCTTGCAGTGGAAGTGAGGTTTGGTGTTGCAGGACCATATAAGGTGACAACAAAGAAAACTTCACTTATTCCTGGCTCTCAAGCTGTTTTTGCGTTCTGCTTAAGCTTTTACACTCATATGCATTTCTGTAGTCATGAACCACGTAGTTTATGGTTTCTTCCTTTTTGTTTGGCTGGAGATATTATGTGTTTCACAGTCAAACACAATCTTCATAATGACTTTTACACCTTATTTTTTCCTTTTTCTTCACCTCTGTAAACCTCCAACTCCTAACAGTAGCAAGAGAGATACATCCCACCAAATAATAACGATTAGTACCATAAACCATATAAAACCATACTGAAGGAAAAAAATAATACAAATTATCTTGGTGACATAATCTGCTGTAAATTTAATGCAAAACATCTGAAATAATTAAAAGCATTTTTTTGAAACATATTAGTGCCTACAAAAATTTCCACAAACGTTATAATTCATCTAGAAGGTTCTTGCTGCTAATACACATATAGCAATGTGGTTTGATAGGTAATCAGTAGCACTTGGTTTGCTTAGACACTATGTAAACGCAGGCTTGAAAATTTCATGTTTTCAGTTTTCTTCTGGAGTGATTTTTTTCCTTCATTGACTGAAAACAGTTACTTAGATTATCACAGAATCACAGAATCTTTGTCCTTCAGTTGATATCAGACATATTTTAGACTGTCTACACCTTACTGGGATAAATATCCCAAGTCTTACATGCAGAGAAAGTAAAAGAAGAGACAATTAATTCACAGCAGTCAGTCCTAGCATTATCATAGGAGTTATTCCTCTGGTGCCTTGCATAGTCAATGTGTGATGGAGGCCATTCAGAGTTTGTGCTGTTTGAGGAGATGTCAGAGCATTGCTGGATCCATAGCGGTGGAAAAAAAGCATGCTCTCTGTTGCATTGCCTTCTACGCTACTAACCCTAACCAGGTCAGGACCAAATTACTGCACGCACACACCAATATGATGAGCAGCAAAATGGCGTTTATTACACGTGAACCCTAGCTTATATACCCCATGTGCTTCATCTATGCCCCTAAAGCATGTGTCATACATCCATCATAGAGCAGGGGAGGTCCTGCCACGTCACATCCTGATGGGGTGCCTTGCAGTTGCCTACTGCAGGTCTCCTCTTACAGGACCCCTCTTTTCTCTTCAGGAAGCTTATATTTCAACTCCCTTTGAGGACTGCGTAGGAGTATAATTCTCTTATAGCCACAACCTGTCTCCATTTTGCTTAGAACAGCTGGCAACTGATTGTAGTGATTTAACAACTTTTAATTGTGCTGGATGTTTTGATTAACATTTTAGCCATGGATTGTGGGAGGCTTACGGTGATCTTGTGGTTAATATATTGATAGGGAGTTCTGGAAATCTCTGCTGAGCTTAGCAGCACAAAGTTTATAAAACTCTTGTCTCACTTAAGTCAGCAATATTTATGCCTCTGATTTAACTGGGGTCACGTTATATTTTTTAATATTCAACATTTGAAAAATTTCTTACTCCTACCACAGAGGTAGTTAAATCCTTCCTTCTCTTTTCAGTTCATGGTTCAAAAAAGTTGCTCAGTCCTAAAGATTAATGGTGTGTATTGGGAACCTAGATTGGTTAATTTATAGTAAATCCATGCTATAGAAGTATTAAATTGTATTATGTTATTTTAGAAGTACCTTTCAGCACTGGAACATACAAAATAATGAAAGATCTACAGAAATGTTGCTAGGCTAAAATGCTAATCTTTTCCTATTGTTTTCCAGCTCCATTTTTAAAGGCTCAGCTGTGTGTGTGTATCATTTATCTGACATCCAGACTGTGTTCAATGGGCCATTTGCACACAAGGAGGGCCCAAACCATCAGCTGATTCCATATCAGGGCAGAATTCCATACCCACGACCTGGCACTGTAAGTACATAATATGTTTATAAAGGCTTGCCAATTACTTCTCTTTGTTTAATACATAAATAGATATTATTTATTCCAGGAGAACAGTCTGTATGTGACTACGGCATTTAGTTACAGTTCAGAACAATTTTATTTGCTTCTCACCTTACCATTCAAATTGTGCAGTATCTGGAAATCTTCCATAAAAAAAAACTGTCATTGTCACGTAAGATATAATCTCTCTTCTTCTTTCTGCTCAAAGATGGTAGGAGTTATTTCACTAAATAGCAGTCAGATGTTATACATGTACATTTTCTGTGCAGGATTTAGCAAAAGATAATTACATAAATAAGCATACAAAGACAGCATTGCGAGTGTGTTCAATGTCTGGATACAAGCTTCTCTTTTTGGACACTATTTTTAATATTTTAGTGCAGTTCTTAGTGGTTGTAAGACTTAGAATTTCGTGTCCCCAGATCTCTAAAATTAGCTAATCAATACATAATATTCCACTATGTTCAAATGCTAGCATTGTTCCATCTTTGCCATTAATTCATACAGCTCTACTCTGATGAGTTCACTGAGGCTTTAAGTTTAAACTCAACATAAATAAAAAATAAATGGCCCATTTAAATAGGAAGTGTTGTGCTCTCGTGATTTCAAAATTTCCTACTGCTTGAAAATATTGCATTTGTATATATTTCCTCAACCACTGCCATGTTATTCTTGGTTCACCAAGAAGGAAGTTCGTTTCATGGAGGCTTACATGGTATTCCAGATGAGCCTGAAGGAATCCAGCAGCACAATGGAAAGGGAGAAAGAAAATTCAGATTTCAATTTGACATAGTGACAAAAATATCTATCCTTTTTCAGTCATGCTGGTGAACTTTTAATTTGAAGATAAATTCTTAACTCACACCAAAAATAAAACTGAAGCAGGGTTCTTTTAAAATGATCATTAGTGTTTTTTCTGATCACTGAATTTTTTCTGCTTCCTCACAATTCAGCTATAGCATAATATTCCAAAAGTGTGTTTTCTACAATGGGACTTCTCTGCTTTTTTTTTCTACACTGTCAAAATATTCTACTTTTTTTACATGCATACTGCAACCCCTGCTTCTCAGATATGTCAAAACCTGTAAAAATCAGGTCATCAAGAGAGAAATTGTATTCTTAGGGTTAGCTGTGAATTTCCAAGCATGCATACTAAGACACATGAACCCTTTTCCTCTGGAACAAATGTTACTGCTACTTCTAGGATGCTAAACTAGACTAGGATGATTTTTTTTATAACATGGAAAATCCTACTTTATAGTTGCCTAGAGAGATATTCATACTAAAACTTTGGACAGAAACTAACGTTTATTATGTTTCAGTACATTGGATAAACAGTGAAAGGGCTTCAGCGAAATTTCTGTAGAATTAAATAGAGCAATACATACATTTGGCCACAATCAATTCTGCAGAATTTGGCTGCTGTTTGCTAAATACCAGTGGTTTCTTATTTCTCCACAAGCAAAACTTACTTATGGAAAAAAGAAACTATATAATTGGCAGCTTCCTACTAAGTTCAGTCATGTTTGAAGATAGTTTCCATTTTTCAGTTTATAGAAATAGTTTTTTTACCTACAGCACGTTGAAGAATATACTGTAAATGAAATAATTCTGTTTCTGTCTGTAATCTTACTACACTGTGATCAACTGTGAACATAATTACTGTGTAACTGAGCCTCTGAATGAAGTGTGGAGGATATAGATTCAATCCCTTCAGGAAAGGGAAAATTTATAGTGTTCTTCAGTAGCATCTTTCATTTGGTATTAGTATATATGGAGAATAGCAATAGAATGAATTGATTAAAGATGGTTTTTTGAGGACTTGCACAGAGTAGTGTTTTAATGTAAGTTTTTAGAGTCAAACATGAGTGAAAAATAGCACAACCATTTTGCAGGAAGTCCAAGACATGAGTCTTTATGATCTCCAAGTCAAGAATGGAAGGAGAACAGGAAGCATCAGAGAAACTCTTCTTTCAGCTGAACTGCATGAGACAAGAAAGTTTAATTTGATCTTCAGGTGAAACAGAGTCCATCTAGACAGGAAACGTTAGCTGGAAGTTTACTACCAAGAAGAATAATCTTGCTATTAACCCCCAGATTTATGAAGACAGTTATTTTATCATCACTTCTTACTAATCACAGCAGATAGCTCCATCCATTTCCTGCAAGATTGGATGGAAGTTCCATGGAAGGAAAAAGGGCAAACGATAACACAGATTAGATTTTATCAGCAGTCTTAGAAAGCCAGCATGTAGAATCATCTGTGATAAGCACCTAACCTAAACTGTCAGGGTAGCTAATTAAGTTCAGAAGAATCAATTGAAGTCAAGCACTTCAGACAGGAAAAGAAACCCATATTTGAGCTGACTTCCAGTTCTTTCTGCTGGAGGTAACTAATGGTGGAGCAGTTTCTTTTAAGCTATTCCTACCAGAGCCAGAAGCTGATTTCAAAACTTGGCATTAGGCTACGGTCCACTTTGTAATCGATTCCTGGCATTGTTTAATGAATAGTTAATAAGGTGAACAAAAGCAGATTTTAGTGGCAGGAGTAGAACTGACACTCCTGCCTGGTGTTTAGAGGGATCCCCTGACATGCAAAGACCCAGATTTTAATGTTTGCTTGCATCAGGTATGCTGGACATATGAGTCATATATCCATGGTGAGTTTCCTAGTTTCTCAAAGTATGATTCATTTTACGTAATCTTAACCATATAAAAGCAGGGTGTCTAGTCTGAATTACTGACTGTAGAGGAAAGCTAGGTAGCTAAGAATAAATGTCTAACTTTGAGACAGCAGAAGTCAGGTGAGGTGACACTATCCCTAAGCTACTAGCTATTTTTGTGTGTGTGGTTTGACTACAAATTCCATCCTAGACCTAAGAACTGTCAAAAGGAAGAAGTTTTCATGAAATGTTTCGTACTGAGCAAACAAAGACTTTCCAACTTGAAAATAATCTCTTGAAATGTTTCTGAATAGCTCCAGTATTCTTAGGAGAGGTCCATATCCCAGCAATCTGACAAGGAGGGAATCTCAGAAAAAGCAGTGAAAACTGAGATATCACTGGCTGAAGTAGTTATGTAAATGAGTGAGTACTTCCAGCACAGTGTACCAGAAACTGACATAGTTCCTGACGTCTTAGAATCATAGAATCATAGAATCTTGTTTTAGGTTCACTCTTAGCGGGCACTTGAACTTTTGAAAACTGCTTTTACTTTCATCTTGAAGTCCAGAATGTCTCAGGGCTCATTACTTTAGTGGTTACTGCATTTAAAGAAGCATCTGGAATACCAATGTATTTCTATGTTTTTTTGTAAAAGATGGGGTAGGTAAGATCCTGTGAATGATCAACTGTCTCAACATATCAGACACCCTATTTTAAACCTATATTACTGCTTTTAAAAAAGAAGATAAATCACAGACATTTTCACTGTCTTACAATCAAAATAATGACTAGAGGGATATTAACCAAATTACATTTGGGTATCAGACTTTACCTTTTATCTTCGTACTAGTTCTATAACAAAACAAATGTATCTTCCCTGTCAATTACTTGGATTTGTTTTTTTTAAAAGCATGTCTGGAAATGTAATGAATGTGGAAATAGGTCCAGAACTATGGAACGTAGCCATCATCCTGGATTTTAATATTGTAAAATTATGTTTGTGTTTGCTTTATCTGAATTGACAGGAGATAAAAGCATAACTATTCAAGTATTTCATGCCAGTTACTGGAATACAATTACTTTCAGTCAGTGTCTGAAGTGTTCTTTTGGGAACTTATTTTGTCAGCTCTCAGTCAATATTTGTAAATGAATTAGAGAGGAAATCTCTCTGAACGATGGTAAGCATTGCTAAGGATTACTGTGCATATTTTGTGCAGTGTCCAGGAGGAGCCTTCACACCCAATATGAGGACAACCAAAGAGTTTCCAGATGATGTTGTGACCTTCATTAGAAATCATCCTTTGATGTATAATCCCATTTACCCAATACATAAGAGGCCATTAATCATCCGGATAGGAACAGACTACAAGTATACAAAGATTGCTGTGGACCGAGTGAATGCTGCTGATGGAAGATACCATGTCTTGTTTCTTGGAACAGGTAAGGCAAAATTAGCAGTAATTGTTTTCATCCATTGCTTTATAATTTGCATTTATAATATATGCTTACTTAAACATATTTAGTATTTACAGAAGTGTTTACAGAAATACATAAATTGTGTTTGTTTGTTTCACTTTCTGTTTATTTTTGTTTCCTTTGAATCTTAACTATGTGCAAGAGATATAATGTGCCAACATGAATTTTATCAGAGACATAAATCAACTCTAGGATATTTTCTATTTGATCTAAATTAGAATTCTTGTCTTGACTACAGTTTATCATCAGTGTGATTCCATATTAGAATTTGATTCTCTCTAATGTGCAGAAATTCCAAAATCTGACTATGAATGGCTTTGTGTACTCTCATCACCTTTATTTAATATATAGAGAAACTACATTTGAAGAAAAAGACAATCTGATGTTAGAGGACATTAAATGCAGAAATCACATAAAAAACTGAAAATATCTAAATACTTAGCAAAGAAAGATAAATGATTGGATTCTTACTAGCAGTGGATACAGAGAATTTTATCTAAGCATTCTAAAATAATTTCTAATATGACCTACATTTTGGTTTTAGCTACATCAAATTTGAGTCTGAGGTTATGCTTCTGAAGTCTGCTGGGAACACATGAGTGATTCTCGTACTGATCAAATTTGATTTTTCAAAAATACTCAGATATGAATCTCACTCTCTTGATTAAAGCAGACAAGCAGAGTGGAGCTCTGGCTAGACTATAGTATTCATTCACATGGGAAACTCCCACTGGCTTAACAGGGCATTATGTGCTGATATACACAAAGGCTAATGTTTTTTACTACAGATGTTTTCAAGTAGAACAAAGGAAAAGAACTCGAGGAGAAGAAATATATCTCTAAACATCAGAAAATGATTAGAGAGATGGCTTGTATTGCTTTTATGGTTCATCTATTATTGGGGTTCTGGTTATTTTCTGCTTGTAAAAAAAAAAAAAAAAAAAAAAAAAAAAAACATGTCTGCCAGGAAACTCACATGGGACTGGGAATAACCAGCCTGATATAATAGATAGGAAGCTGGTGGTAAAAGCATTTTCAAGAATGTCAAGCTTCTATAGGGATGGAATCATAAGGAAGTCTGTTCAGTCTTCCTGGAAAAACCTCCCCAGCTATCAAAGTTGTCAGGGTACCCTTGTGCCAAAAGAAGCTAAATGCATACTGCACTGTATTAGCAGAAGCATATCTAGCCAACAAGATACTCAAAGAGTACAATATCCAGTCATGGGCTCCGCAGTACAGGGAAAACATTGACACATAATCGATTGAGATTACTTGATGGACTGTAGCATGTGATGTATGAGAACAGGATGAGAGAATTGGGTTTCTTTAGAGAAAGCAAAGTGGAGATCTCACTGCTGTCTACATCTATTTTATTTATTTAATGGGAAAAGATTCTACTCAAGATCTTCATTGTCAAGATGAGAGGCAATGGACACAAGCTGGAATACGAGACATTGAAATTAGATAGAAAGGAAAATTATTCACCACTAGAGGGGTCAGATTTTGGAACGGAGGTCCAAAAAGGTTGTGAATTCATCTTCAGAGATTCACAGGATTCATAGCCCAACAGCAAATGGCCCTGAAAACCTTGTTGTAATTGGACCTGCTTCAAGAGGAGTATTGCACTGGATAACTTCTAAAGGTCACTTACAGCCCACAGGGTTCAAGGTTCAAGTACAGGAAATAAAAAAACAGAAATACTTGTCTCATCCTGTGTCACACCTCTACCAGGTTACCATTTTCTGTACTGTGAGGGCTTGGTGTATTATAAGATACTGATAGAAAAACCTCTAATTAATAAATTACAGTAAAAAATTCATTTTTAATCTGGGCATTCTAGTTTTCTTGGTAGGCAGTTGCTAAATAATTTTTAAAGCATCCTTTGATCCCACCTGCAAGGTCAACTTATGCTAATTAGGTCAGGTCTTCCTTGTTGTTTTTTCTCCCTCTCTAACATACAGCCACATTTTCTTTTCTGTTTAATTAACACAATTGCAGTTCTCAACTTTCAGACACTTTAGAGTCATAATTCTTCTTTCCTTCAGAGGTAAAGAAAAACAGTTTTCATATACTACTGTGGAAATATCAGAAGCATTAGTAGACACTATCTCAACTATTCTTATACAACTCCTCAAGAACTCTGTTGTCTGTTAGCTTTATTCTTTGCCAAAGCAGAATGTTTTGCCATAGAAATAGCTTGGCAGACTAGAACGGATATTTCAAATGCATATTTTAGGGTTTTTTTTTTATATAGTGGTATCATTGGTTTAAAATTGGTTCTATAAGTATCTAATGTGAATTGGAGTAAAATCCTACTAAAGTTGAGAACATGAGACATAGGCTTTTCTAAACAATGCAGGATTCTTCCTGTAGAAGTGTTAGTTAATACTGAAAATGCATACAAAATAATGAATGTGCATGAAAATACACAATAAAGACATGTAACACTGCAGTGATTCTGCATGATATAAATACAAGCCATTTCATTTTATACTTCAATGAACTACAAACCAATCTTAATAGTGCCTGTGATTCATTTAAAGCATTAACATACGTCAGCTTGTACTTATGTTTTGTTTGTCCTCTTCGAAGTACCAGCACAGGGTCTGCTTTGGACAAAATACACACACTGCAGCCCTCGATACTTTATGTGCATTGCTTTTTACCTTCTGCAGTACACCGGAGACAAAGATCACTGTCTGCCTTCCAGTTATGTTGAGGGCGGGCATTATTATCCCTGAGTAGAGCACAGTGACTTCCTGAGACACTAATACCTTCCACGATCTTCCTCAGAAGAAACTGACACAGTAGAAGTTACCGTGTTTCTCAGCCCTTTTAAATAAAAGCGATCAAGTTTCAGCTGCTGAGAGGATAAACTTGTTTTCTTTATTCGCTGCTTTCTGTGAGACTCAAGAGAATACGATAGAGATATTAACTGTCAAAAGGAATGCAGAGGGGATTTTCTTTGGTGTCAGTTCATCCCAGCAAATGGAAAAAACACACTGTGTAGGAGAATTTCATGTGATAATTTCTTTGGGAGCCTGGTGCCCCACAGCTAGAGACAATGGGACTTGGCACCTGGTGACAATTACACTCAGCTCAGATGATGAGTTACTGCTGCTGAACTGAGATGTTGCCAGCCGTGTCTGTCACTGTCAGTGACCTGTCTCATGCTTGAAACTGGAGTGTTTTATGTCTTGCCAGATGCAGAGCACACAAAATGTTTAGCTTTTCCTCTCTTCCTCCTCTATAGCTTCAGTAATAAATCAGTTCCTGGATGCAAGTGAGGAATAACAGAAGTAGAAAGCTCAAAGAACCCCAGTGGTTTTCATGATGTAGCTGTGGTCTGGAAGTGTGTAGGCAGCTGTGTCACTTTTTCACATTAATGTGAACTTAATGTAGTGTTTTCTTTGCACCCTCAGACAAAAATGTTGAGTTTACAGGGGCTAGTCCTTGCTGAGAGTCAGTATGTTGCTTTTCTCTCCCTTTTCTGTCACTTACATAGCTAAGAAAATAAATCCTACAAACAGATATTATTCTTGCAACATTCAACCTGCTTTTCAAATAATAAGGATCGCTTGTTTTTGTGTACTATCCAACCTGAAGACTCTCTGACCACTTAACGAATCTTTCCAGTCCACCCAAAATGGTCTCTTCATCCCCCTTTGAGCCAACTTAGAGTAAGAAGAATCAAGTCTTTATGCTAAACAGCAGTGCTACAAGAGAAGAGTACTGTGTACCTTGTCTTCCCAGAAACCAATGAGATAATTTACTCTGAAATAATGTAATCACTTATTTGCATATTTGACAGGAGCAGTGATGATAATGCTTTTTTCCTATGGAATGAGTAATAACATTCAGTTATTGTGCTTCATTTATCCCATTTGTATGGTAGCCCACAATTCAATCTTGTAGTTTTTGATTCACACTAGAATTTCACTTTAGCCAGTCCAATTTTATGTAAAGAATTCAAGAGTACAATGTTTTCCTAGTTTATCCCTTGGTAGATTGTTTTGCATTTAAGTTTTAAGAACAGCAGTAAAACAGCATGAGAACATTTTCCTGAGATTAATATTTATTTTTTAAGCATGCCACCTACTGCTTGCAGTATGAAAGCTTTCAGTCTCAGTCCACACAGATTGCAAAACCAAAAGATTGTGTGCATGTGGGTTTTTTTATTGCTCATGGTGTTACAAAAGTATTTAAATGTCTGGGTCAAACTTGGATATATTAAGCAGACATGGGCACCAATATGATTTTTTTTCAGCTCCTTGCCATCAATGTAGGATATATTTTTGTGTGAAGAGATCTAAGTGATTGCCATGAAAAGGCACTTCAGGTTTCAGTCTGGCTTATTCAGTTGATTAATATGGGCCAAATGCATCTGACGTGGCATGAGGCTGATCAATGTTTTTAATCACTTTTCTGATGCAACACTTGTTTGCAGTCTGGAACAGTAAGTACTTTCCAAGCATAAGGTTGTAATATAGTCTTAAAGATATGAATTAATTGTGAGAATACTTGTTTCCAGGGTGTTACATGGTGACCGTCTTTTTGGAAAACTTAACTTTGCTGACAACAGTAGCCTCCAGTAACATACACAAAAGCCAAAATCATGTAATAAGCTACAGATTCTAACAGAAATCATCTAGTCAGAAGAGCACGGGTGCCTCCCACAGCTGTAATGCTACAGCTTCCTGTCTGTGAGCTTGGGGAGGTAGTGTTGCACAACAGTGACACAATCACTGCAGAGAGGGCTTCTGTCCTCCCCTTGCTCACGCAGGGGTGAGTCATTCAATACCTCTTAGTGACCAACTCATCTAAAACTTTTTCACAGCTTCTTAAGAAGATATGTGAAGCAGATTTTCCTACACATTTGGTTTCCTCTCATTTTTTGTTCAATCAAGATCATGGTGTCTCCAGAAGGTGGACCAAGCTCGATCTATCTGAACATTTTGCCCTCAGGCATGGCTTGTACCTGACTTTTTGTTCTTTGATGCAGCTTGAAATGATTTCACCAAGTTTCACAGCAACAATGTGAGATGGGGAAAAAAAAATGCACATTTTTTTTCAACAGATGGTGAAGATATGTGGCTGTGGTTAGAGCCCTGATTTACAGTTGAGTGTGGAAATGTCTCTCAGGCCTCACTGATAACCTGCCACCATCTCAGGTGCTTTGCTGAGACTGAACACTGTCTCAAGCAGAGAGATTTTGAGCATTCTGTTGACACTCCTTTCTTTTTTTCAATAATTTTATCTGCAGCTGGTTCAACTCAGTTTAGAGACCAAAAGTAATGAATCTGCCAGTGGGCTGACAAGTTCAACATAGAGAAAAGTTTACGAAGGGTTTGCCGCGACGTCTGATTTACCAGGGCTAACACAGGAGGCCTCTCTGTGAAGCTCTTGACAGAACAGCAGTTGATGTCCATTGTAGTCATTATTTTATGGTGTATAAAAGTCAGGGTTTTGATTTGTTGTTGGTTTTGTGCACGCAGTGTGGGTCGGAGGTGGGTGGGTCCTGGCTCTCTGATACTCACCGTACTGACAACTGCAATGTTCACTTAGGACTAGGGAAAGAAAAGCTAGGAGGAATTCGGAGAATGAGACTGAAAAAAATTCAGACCTATAGACTCAGCTTCTGGAATGCAGATTCCATCCAAATACCTGCATATTTTTCATCACTAATCACTAAGCTTTGCCTTTTCTATTGCCCATGTTCAGTCAGATCAGGAATTGGGGTTGTTATGAAGCACTAGTATTAATGAAGCTCAGTTGATTATTACAAGCCTCAAATTATGCTTTGCATTTCAAGAGAGTTTTTGTTCTTTTAGCTTTACTATCGTTCTTGATGTTATAATTATTTATTTATCTTTCCTTCTTCCTTTCTTGGGTGCTGTCTTCCTCCTCAGTGTATTTCTCACTCTGCATAATCTCTACTCCGTCTTTTAGCCTACAGGATATCAATGCCTTCCTCTCTTGTCATTCCCTGCTTATCAGTCCTCTCAGAAGGGGATGTGTTCTCACTGACATTGTCTTCCACATGGAGCTTGGAGATTGCAATTGCTCAAGCAGGTTTGAAACTGAAAAACAGTCATTATGAGTCGTCCTGTCATCTTGCTGTCAGCTCGAGGGAGATTCCTCCAGACATCCATCTGCCCTCCACTCCCAGCCTGGTGATGAAGTGAGGTTACAAGCAGTTCCTGGTGAAAAGTCAGGGCAGCAGTGAGCATAAATCTGTCATTTCACCTGGGACATTCTAGAAGTGGGTTTACGTTCTGGAGACACAGTAGCTTTTTTCACAACTATGTGAAATCATAACAATATAGAACTGCTTTCAAGGGGATTTCTGGAATTAGCAAATAAACAGAGGAAGAAATAATCTTATTCGCTTTTATGAATATTCACAGAATTAGCTTAAATTTCATGCTGTGACATGAAAAAATGTGACTAACTCAATGATCTTGTAGCTGGATCACAACACAAAAGATTACCTGTTATGAAATACACTGGAAAACAGCTCAGACACTGTTATTTTGCATACATTTCCTGCAGTGCACAGTACTGCATCCTTTCCAACTTTCCTTCTGACCCAGGAATTCGGTTTGCTGCCTTGCTGTCAAAGAAAATAAGCAAATATAATTTTCAAAAAAACTCAGATGTGCCATGAGCATTCTGACATGAACACATAGAAATGACTGATGGCAGCTACTGTGCTTACAATGGGGACTTCAGTACTACTGAGGAAGGAATAAGAAGTGTTTTCTGAGCACAAATATTTGTTTTTCACTTATTAAGGAACAGGCTAAGCAACAGTAGAAGGACTATTTTCAGAAGGAGTGGAGAGTTACAACCTATAAGCATTATTGGAAGTATCTATATTTATATATACAGGCTGCTGGAATTCCGTTCTCTAAGTGGTTTTATTTAATGAGTAGCTTTCTACTGCCTACTTTCCCTAAGAGGAAAATTTATTCTAAATGTTGCATTAACTTTACTAATTGTTTTAAAACAATGAAGCATATCTTTCTGCAAGGATCTGTCCCTAATGCTGCAATGAGTCAAAGGCAAACAGTCCTTAACTCTGTGTATTTTGCTTGGTTGTGACAAAAAGGTAGATAGGAACCCAGTTTTTAAATAGAAAAGGTTACTAGGACACAAGGGCTTGGCGTCAGTCATTATCAGTATTTTTTCTCAATGCCCTGGATAAAATCTCCCCTCAGGTTCTGATTTCAGTTTCGAGAAATGTTTGAGGACCAAAGACAATTTAGGAATTTTAAATGTGTGACATGCACTAATGGATCACTCAAGTAAACTGGTTCTTCAGTTCTTTGGAAGCTCAGCTTCACATTCCTTTGTAGGTAGGGTTACTGTCAACGTGCTTCATATCCTGTAAGTCAGGGTCACAGGTAGCTGGCACTTTGCAAGCGGCTGAAAAAAATCACGAAAGGCTGCAACTCCTTCCTGCACATCTGATACAGTGTTCTAGATTGTATAATTTAATATTTGACATTGATAAAGGGATGCAAAAAGACAGAGGTAGACTAGACTTAAGCTGTGTATATTTGTGAATAAATTGTTCCCTTTAGCAGAAATATACCCATGCACACACACACGTGCTTCTCCTTAGCTGTAGCGAGGGATGCATCTGCAGAAGTTTAAAGCTTTGGTGTGTCTTGGCAGTTTGTAAATCTCTCTCAGGTTCCCATAGCTTTGCTAATACTGGCACCCAGTCTAGACCACAGCTGTGCTATCAAGATTTAGTTTCAGTAATATTTCTTTGGAAGGCACTGGTTTATCGTGCCACTGTATAATGAGAATAAATGTTCTCCATAGAAGATTTTCATGAAAAATCCATGTATAATGTGCTCTGAGCACGCACAGTTGATAGCTACAGATTTTTAAGTCTTGTCCGCTTTCAATTTCTCTTTTCTTTTTTCTGCTTTAAATGGCAACACATTGCAGTGTTCTACATGTGAGGTCAAGTCATTACGTGCCAATATTCTGGCCATAAACCTTAATTTTTAAAATAAAATGCTTGGTTATTTGCTAGATTCCTCCAGGGAAATAAGAAGATGTAAATTATTTATTGCAAACAATTTGCCCTACAGTTCCAGCTATGGAATTTAGTCACTGCCCTTAAAAGCAAAGGGAAAATTGCAGTATTTCAGTTTACATGGTCTATATCGTGAACTGCCAAACAGGAAACTGAGATTTCCTTTCCTCAATCGCAAATTCATGAAAATACACGTAGATACTTACCTATATTGTGCTGTACTCATGTTTTACTAACCACAAAAGTCTATACTGCTCATAAAACTTTTGAAGGCCAAACAGAATCTGTACCATGTGTTCCCATTCCTTAGAATCAATACTGAACAAATAAATATATTGTACTCCGACAAATTTTCAGGCCTTTCAGATTATTTCTTCCCAGAAAATGTCCCTGTGCCCACCCTTCTGATTCCCCACAGTCTTTCTTTTCTACCACATCCAAAATACTTCAGAGCATGTCTCAGCCTTCATGAACCTCCACAGAATGACTCCTCCATTTTGTATGCTCTTTCCACATAAATTCACTAAATCACTAATTTTCCTACTCATGGTATCTACCCACAAAAACACCACCACTCGCACATCATTTTTGCTTCCTACTCATTTCTTCAACCTGAGGGGCTTGAAACTGTATTTTGACACAGCAACTATAATTGAGTCATTACAGTGTCTTCTCCTTGCCTTTTTTTCCTTTTTCTACACGGACCAAAAAAATAACTCCTACTAATATATAAAGGGCTTAGGTATTGCTTGATTTTCTGGAAAAAAATCTTTCAGCTGATTATTTTTAGAAGTAGATTAAGTTATTCTTTGGAATATTTACTTTTCCTGTCATCAGTTGTTATTTCATATTTTTACTGGGTATGAATACACTTCAACTATACAGTAGCTCTCCTTCACTTCGTGCTCTGTTTTCACTGTAAGATGATTGATTTTTTCAGGTAGAATGGTAATGGTGATGATACTTACCCCAGTCTTACCATGACTTCTTGAAGTTCATGTATAAGAATAATACTATTTACAGTCATGTAGAAGTTATCCACAGTCTGTGACTTGTGAGGGAGTCATCTCATAGTGCTTTCTCACCCCAAATTAAAATTTTTTCATACCTTTCTCTGTGTCACATTGCTGGCTTTCATGTTTCCTTTCATAGTTGGTAATGTTTCATCTTTTTTATCTCTCTATCTCACATGATTTGATTTTTTTCTCATCTTTTCTAGATCAAGGAACTGTACAAAAAGTTGTTGTCTTACCCACCAACTTCTCTGCAAGCGGAGAACTCATTTTAGAAGAGCTGGAGGTTTTTCAGGTTTGGCTTGCTCCTACATTTACTCTTCCAATGTGTATGTTCACACAAACACTTTGTTCTAAAGACTTTGGCAAGGGCAACTGTGACTTGATAAAAGATCAAGTGAATGTGCCTACTGTCAGCTTGATACCCACCCAAAGAGCAAAATAAAATGTCTGAATGAGTACTGTAGGAACGCTTAAATCCCTTTTTAACCTGTATATAAGTTGCTTATTTTTTATGTTGTCATACTATATAGTAGGATTTTAATAACATTCTTATGAGGTTATGTTGTAGTGGCTTCTGGAATGTCACTTCTGTCACTGGCATGACATATTGAGACTAGTCTTATTTACAGATGAAATATAAGATACTTCTTTAATTATCTGATAATCTTCCTAATTCTGGGCTGCAGAATTGAAGCAAACTAGTGATTTTGCTCAGATGCAGATCTTCAAAGCTTCTGGAGTCAAAAACCCAACAAGATAACACAACATGAACCAAAAAGAAACACAAGCATCTATGGGAAAAAAATAAAGGAATAGCCTCTGTCAGTCACTCTGGCATGTAGCAGCTTGTAATAACCTAAAGAAAACATTCATCCTCATGTTAAAGATTCCCCTTCACATTTTTGAATGGGATGTTCTTTAATATAAGTAGCCTCAGGGCAAATGGTGTTATTCATCTATAAACTTAGCTAAGGGCTTTGTCGTGGGCTTTTCTTTTATTTTTCTTCTATTTCACTGCGAGTATACAATAACAAAAATGTAAGCTTTTTATCTAGACATGCAACAATAGCTATTTCGCTAAGGAAAGGAATACTTTCTGTGTCAACCTTCAAAAAAGCATAATTAGCTCTCCTAGGCTTTTGTTGAAAACCTCCCTTTGAAAAAGATATATGTAAGTAACACTACTTAGAGTGCCATTTGCCCAGCTATTACTTACTCCATTTGCAGAGCAGACAGGTGGGATGAGAGCAATCTTGATTCTGAGCTTCATTTCCGGGTATCCCTGCACAGACCTTTTTATCCTGAACATTCAAAATCACAGTACCATAACTGCAGCAGTTGCAGTCTGTGCGGACAATGAGGCAATGCTTTCATGAGTCTCTCCAAGAGGTAGGAATGAGATCAGTAGTTTTGTGCTAGTAAATATGGAGAGTAAGCAAAGCAAAGATTCCAGAATATAAATAAGATCATAGAATCATAGAATCACTCAGGTTGGAAAAGACCTTAAAGATAATCGAGTCCATCCATGACCTAACCATACTACCCTAACTAACAACCCTCTGCTAAATCATATCCCTGAGCAAGATGTGGCATCAAATCCAGTGTTGTATTGAAACTTGGATCTTCAGACAGTTCAGTCATAAAATAATGCAGTGCAGCTCTACACTCCTTCATACCTTTGCCAATTCTCATGATTCACAGCCAGATTTTCTACTGCTGGCCTTCCCACTTTGCCTGTAGTCCACTGCAGTTAATCCTGGCCCACCGGTGGGGCTTTCCTTTGTGACTGAGCAATTGCTGAATCTTCAAAAAATGCTAAACATTTTTATTACTATCATTCTAATAATTTGTTTGGATGAGAATAATGAATTGCTTCACTTGCTTAAGGCAGTGAATGTGATAATTCCTTTTCCAGCTTTCTAAGATTCAGTTTGGACACAGACAATAACAGACTCCGGTGATGACACACAGTAGTATACTGTACTGTCTCTGGGAACAAAACATTCAGTAACACACATGCCATTTTTAATATTCTTATCATAGATAATCTGAAAGTGTGTTGGATGTTGGCCAAACTGTATGCACTGTAGATAATGTGCAGGAGAAGTATGACATATTCTTAACAGAGTCATGTAGTAAATATGCATGTGCTGTTGCATGATTTTTCCATATAATCAATTCTGAAGAAGGTTTTTTTTATTGCAAAGTGAAAATAATGGCTTCAAAACACATAGCTGCTGTATTGCTGAACTAACACAAATGCAGGTTAATTAGTACTGTACGAAAATCAATGCATGTAATGAATAATAATGCTGTTGAGCTCAGCATTTACTGAGACATTCATTGTATTTGTGAAATTTGATTAGTTGTGAAAATAGTGAGTAGTAGGGGTGATGCTTTTCCAATATGTGGAAAGTTAAAGTTCTGTTAGATATGACTCAGATCTTATTGAACTTTAAATATTGATTTTGCAAGTGCATTAACGAGAGTCTTTGTAAATGTGGTTTGAAATCTTGTCTTTCAGAGTAACTCTCCTATAACAACAATGAAGATTTCATCTAAAAAGGTAAGGAGAAAAAGAATGCTTGCTTAATGTTATTAATAGAGAAACAAATTGACTTAAAATGTTAACAGATCAATTGTACTGCATCATAGTAAATATTTTCTGTAATTAATGTGGAGAAACATGACAGGATCTGACACAGGCTGTTAATCTGCCCAAGAGCCAGTAATATAAAATAATTTATATTAACTATTTATAATTTCTAAATCACTTAAAGTATCTTTAAAAAAATAATAACAAATAATTTTTTAAAAGTATTAAAAGATGAAATTTGTACTCCTTATTTTACTTATGTCCTAAATAGAAATTTTCCTTTGGAAATATGGTGCATACAAAGAAGTGTGATATTGGATCTAAGGAGAAATTGTACATGTCTGTTCTCTACTAGGGAATAGGAATGATGAAAATAACTGTAAGGATATCTAATGAAATGTCAAACACTCAAACTAAAAATAGTCATTCCATGATTTTTAAAGCAATGCATTGCTGAGTATTTCACAAACCAGTGAAGAGGTAAATACTCCTCACTCATCACTGAATTAAGTTCAGCGTAATTTATTAGATTTGTGACCAAAAGAACAGGGAAGTGTCTAGATTTTGTATTAAATAATAAAAATAAATAATACAAGTTATCATTTATTATAAAATTTCTACTGGCTTAATTTTCCAGGTAACTAAGGCTGTATGCTGGATCTACACCCCAGCATAATCTCGAGGATTTATGTATTGGAAGTCTATGCACTGGAGAATCCAAGTAGGAACTCTGCATAATATTTACTAATGTGACTATATGCAGAGAAAATACATAGTTCAAAGGCATAAGCCAACAGTCCTCAGTGAATCAGAACCAAGTTCTCAAATCTGAGCAATATTAAGTCAGTCTGCCTGCTTCAGCATGGAAGTGTGACACTCAATGTGGAAAAAAAAAAAACATTCTAAGTAGTTCTAAGTGTTTTCTAACAGGAAGGTGGAAATATTACAGTCCTGTTCACTTGAGAGATGTCTGTTTTTCTTAGTTTAACGTATATTAGTGGCTTCTCTCTTGGTCTTGAGTCAAGTCCTGGGTGAAGCTCCTCCACATTTAAAATAAATCTTTCCATTTCCTTCTACAGCAACAGCTGTACGTGAGCTCAGAGGAAGGGATCACACAGGTCCCCCTGCACCGCTGCCACATCTATGGGACCGCCTGTGCTGACTGCTGCCTTGCCCGGGACCCTTACTGTGCCTGGGATGGCAACTCCTGCTCCAGGTTCTATCCCACAGGGAAAAGGTAAGTGGTCCTATGAAGTCTGCCAGGAATGTAGAAATAAAGCTTTTGCTCTGCTATGTAGCTTGGAGCCTTGTAATGCAATACAGAAGTGGAATGTCATTCCTTTCAGGAGCACATGCAAATTGGTACTGTTCATCACCTAGGACTGTATGATAAAAGGCTTGCCTTTTCATATTTAAAGCAACAGATGGGGGAAAAAAAAAAAAGCACCCTATTCATAATCATAAATATTAATCTGATGTCTCATACACAAAAAAATCAGTGAAACGTTTGCTCCCTTTGTTAAAATTCAGTTGCTCACTATGGATATAATTAAGATAGCCCTAAATACAGCCAGATATCACTGAGGTTGTTTGATGAATAAAGTCATTTATTTTTTTGTTCCTCGCTTGCTTTTAAATGAGAAGAATTATTTCTATGGAAATTTTAGGCAAATGTGACTTCCATGTAGAGCTTGCAGATTTGGGTTTTTTGACATGAGATTTATTAATGCAGGCAAGAAGAGCAATTTCTCTTTAATTTACAACAGAGCTAATAGTCCATCTCTTAATTCTTATGCAAAACAGGAGCCGCTTTCCACCTCCCTAGGGAAACATTTAATAGCATGGGGCTGTAGTGAGCTCTTGTATTGCTAAGATTCCATTTCATGTACAAACAAAGCTACAGAATGTACAGTGAAGTGTTACTGCAGAGGAGAAAACCCTTTCAGTTACATGCCAAAGTGGATGTTACTGTGCTCACTCCCTGAACCTGGCCTGCTTCAGTGACCAACTAGTTGATGACAGTGTCGTCCTTTGGATGAAAGATGACTTGAATAAATATTCTTGAATTCTTGTATTCTTGAATAATTCATAATTTCAGATAAAAAGACAAAGCCCAATATGGCTATGGCAGTTAAAGATACAGCACAATACCTGAGCCTTGTACTGCTTTCACTTAGTATATTTAAACTGTCTGCAAATTGATTGTTTTCTTCCAATGGAGCAAAGGTCAGAAGACAGAAAGGAAAAAAAAGAGAATCCCCAAGTCTCAGGCCACCTAACTCCTACACTAACTGAAAGATAATGAGCAGTGAGGTATACACAGTCTGTACAGTTTCCAGTGGATTCCTTTTCATCTCCATGTATCCACCCAGGGTTATTTCCACTGGGGCTTTCTTTCTTGTTGACATTTTATGTGCAATTTACTTTTTATAGCAAATGAAAATAAACACCTGGAAATAATCTGTTTTCACATGTGAAGGAAGTGAGTGGTCCTGTTAACTAACAGGAGAGATTATAAAGAATAAAACATTGGTAGTTAGAACCCCATAGTTTAGACAGCTTTTTGCTGGGCACATTTGTTCATTTGAATCTTTTGATTCCCTGTCTCTGTTCCTTACCTAAATTGATTTACCTGGGAGTATCTTCATTTTCTAAAACCACCTCCTCAGACTTCTTTTGATAAGTATCAGAGTTAAAGTTTAGATCCTCAGAACTGCTTAATGTAACAAGCATGCCATTGCTGATGGAGTGGAGCAACTCATGGGAACAACAGGCATCCTGAAACTCACTGAGAAATTCTTCACTGTCTCCTCTGACTTACATGTGCAGTTCACACAGGTCAAGATCCTAAGGCATAATCACATGCTTTTAATGTTTACTATCAAAAATATACTTGGAATGTCAGAAATTACATTTTTGAAAGATCAACTTTCAAATGTTGCCTTTTAAAACTATCCAGTGAGGGACCTGGTAATGAAGGATTAGAAAGATTAGTTGTCTCTCACTGTGTCTGCAATACCTGGTATAGTATGACTAAAGAGCATCACCCTTCACTTAGCAATGCTGCAGCTCCAGGGGCATTTTGGTTTCATATCCATAAGTCATTAGTGCATAGCTTAAAGTACTGTAGTTACATATCCCCTTCCTTTGCAACAAGTGCCTATCCGCAATATATTTTTTTCACTGAACTTGATAAATGTTGAACTAATGTATGGAATATTTAGTTTTAAAAACAGTTTTAAAAAAGTAATGTATACTAAGAATAGAAATACAGGTTCCAGATTTTCATGCACTGAATTCTGTGAGCCCAAAGAGGGCTAAAATGCCAGTACTCACAGTCCCAGTAAACTAAACTACTAAACTACTTGTTTAGTAGTAAACTAGTAAACTAGTAAACTAAACTACTTAGCTTACAGAATCATGGTTTTGAATCTGTCAACCAAGTAGTACAATAAAGTCTCATTTTGAAGTATTTTAAGACATGGTGAGTTTTGAGTATCTTTTGGAAAGAAAGAAAGTTACATGCCCTCATGTAAAGGCAGAACTGAATCTGAGCTTTTCACCATTGTGAATACTTCTGCCTCTATGCTATCACAGTGGCTTTCAAGCACCATAAATAAACCACCTCCCAAAATCGAGTAGGGAACACGTCCTGCACCATGATTATTGGCTGGTGCATTAGATATGAACTCTGTGACTCTTCCACATCAAATGCTTGTCCACTTGAAGACCATTTGAATCTGAGAGGTCTGTCTCTGAATGTTAAATCTTGCAACACTAAACCTATGTCAACTTTATGCATCACCTCTAGCTCTTCCACCCCGATGCCTTCATTGCAAAACTACTTTGCCTACCAAAAGAACAACTGTCTTAAGAAACTCAGCAAACTAGTTATTCCCTTAAACAGCATCTTCTCTCTAACATGCCTGGCAGCAGAAAAGCAACCTCAAAGTAGGTCATGAACTATGACTGATAACTGACCAGGTATATAAAAAAAAATGTTTATTTGAAGAATAGTCATTTTGGAATAACAATTTGTGTTTTAAAATATTTTAGGAGGAGTCGTAGGCAAGATGTGAGACATGGAAACCCTCTGACTCAGTGCCGAGGTTTCAACCTGAAAGGTACTGTAATTTAGAGATCCTTATGCTATATAAAGAATGCATGGCTTTCCTTGTATGATTCATTGCAGCTCACATCTGTGTGGTTTACTGGTAAAACATAATTATTTTCCAAGTCTGAGTCTTTCCTTGCAATTATCTGAATCCTGCATAAATGTGATATAATGATAACCCATGAAATGTAGAGTTCAACATAGATGAAATAAGAAGCTGATAGTACTGACTAGAAACAGGTATAGTGAATTTGAGTGCTTTTCTAAGTCCTTTAAGTCTTTATTAATTTCTCTTTATTTGATTAAGTCTCAGCTCTGAACATTTAGAGTAAAATAGAATTTGAAGTTATATTAGTTTTTGCAACACATCTTTTAGCAGGTTCCTTTGTGTTGTCATTATTCCTTTCTCCCTTTAACTAGAAAAAGAATTTGCTTCAAACCTCTTTATAAAAACCCTTGTTTCTAGTTGTGCAACTGTTTAGCCAGGCTGGAACAGTGCTGATAGGCAGTGGAGAAAATATTCTGCCTTCCCAGCTGCCCCTTTCTCCACATTGCTAGTTAGCAGTCATATATGGCCAAAGTCATAAGTAGATGCAGATATAAAGGCAGCTTAATCCTTTATAACTCCATGCATGCCTAAGTTAGGCTGTGGCAACATCAAAACACAGCCACGTGAGAATCATGTTCCAGTTTCAGAGCTGTGTCTTCTAAGTGTGCTCTCAACTGTGCCATCTGGAGATGAAATAATACATCTCACTGTAAATTGACTGAATTTTTGATTGAATGAGAGAAGAATGCTTGAAGAGTTATGTCAAAGGTTCAGTCACACAGAATTTTGTTTTGCTTTTTTCTTTCTGTATCCCACAGGAACCTCCTGCTTACTCTTGTGGTCTTTTTTCTTCCTGGAGTAAGTCAGGCATAGAATCCTCAGCCCAAATGTGGCTAATGGTGCTCTGGCTGCCAGCCCACAGTGCCAATGTATCATTCTCCATGACTCAGTGTTAGGTCATTTATACAAAACTGGATAGCTTCAACAAGTTAATCACAAACTTGTGATCAGCTTCACCCTACCATTACATTATGCACCTGAGCTCTGAGACATTCATATTAAAGCTCAGGCTCTGAACCATGAAGAAACTTGAGCTGTGTGTCTACCTTGCAGTCATGTGCAATGACCACCCACCCACTGTCTGTCCCAAGGACAGGTGTCTCCTCTTTCAATGTGGAAAATGTGAGAATGTCAGCTGTCTGCTTTGTGGGCTGAGGGGAAACAAACATTTAAACCTTGACATTCTTGTAACACAGGAATCTTGTTTTCAAGACATTTATCTTAGTTTTGATATATTTATAGATTTGGATGTTTTAGCAATTTTAAAGGATGTTTCAGTGACAGCAGTGTAGGTAGACGACACTCTTCTCTGGGGGAATAAAAAGAAACAGCAACTTGGACGCTTTCAAAATATAATTCAAGCTACTTATGGCAAAACTATTATGTTGGAAGGAAAACTGAAATCTGCCTAAACGACAGAAGAGCAGAGTTGGATGACAACAAGAAATCTTCCAAGTTTATAAGGAACGACAGTCTTGAAACTCGGCGTTCAAGCATGACAGGTTGCTTGCCTTAGACGAAAACCAATATTTTTTGGCATATTGTTATTTTTTTAAGAGATCATTAAGAACTAAAGGGTTTGTAATATTTCTTTTCAGATGTTCTGTTAAGTACTTCAGTATTTCTTATCCTTGTGTTAGTGTTTATGGCCATTAAAGAAATGCATTTTTATTTTGTCACTGTTCTTCTCAGTATTTGTAAGTGGCATTTATGTGATATATTTAGCCCCAATGTACAAAACAAAAAAAAATTGCTACAGCTCTGATTTCTTCAGTGTTATACAGCTACAGACAGGACATCCAAGCTCTGCTAGTTTATGATCTTTGAATGCAAAATATGTCTACATTATTCTGGTAAAAAATTGCAGTTGATTTTGGCACAACCTCATAAATGTGCTGAGAACTTGCAAGGACTAAAACCATGGAAAGTCTCCTTCCTTTATTAGCATAGATTCCCATTTCATATGTGAATTGATGGAAGAAGTTGAGAATGGAAGATAAAATACATTCTGAGGAAGACCAGTTTTAGGACTGTGCAAAAATACAGTATAATTACTACTCATTTATGAAAATAAATAAATATTTTTATTTTATATATGTAGTAAGCATTTAAATCTGAAGTGTATTCTTTTTTTTTTTCTGTTGTGGCAAGTAATGAACATCTAGAAGTTGCTTTCAGTAACTGCCATCTATCTAGACTACAAAGGGCCACAGCAAGTGTAAATGATGACATACACTCAGCATTTGCCCACATATTGCTGGAGTGCTATATATCTTTCCTGGTCTCTGTTGATTGCCTAAGTATTGAATTTCAGATTTAGAGCCAGGCCCTTTTTCTTGCTTTTTTAGAGGGGAGTATGTTTACAGTAAAGTCGGCCCTCTCTTGCCTCCCTGTGATAGTGCATGACTGTTGAAATGGATGGAGCTGTCCTTATGTCATGATGTATTTTAGAATCATACCAACAATATTGCCCTAATTTCCAAACTGTGAAGTGTGAAGAAGTATACCAAATATTTTGTTCTATGTTGGAGAGTTCCAAACAGGTGGTTTTGTCATAGTAGAGAATGAGATAATTTCTGGAAAGAATATCCCCAGGCTTTTATCCCATCAGTAGAAGTGTCTGGGCATGCATTTGCCTACCTGCCCACAGGTATCCCACTTTCTCGGAAGATCGTATCTAAGTGATAATGCCAGTATTTGGAGCAGGCTTTTCTTCATTACATTTAATTTCCTTTCTTTGAAAATATTGTACCATAATGTATCTATTATCTGCTAATATCAGGATTGGATGTACTTCAATTGACTGTATTCCAAGTGGTGCTACATTTACAGTAGCCTGACCTGTCTTCTTTTATTTCGTAGCATACAGAAATGCAGCAGAAACAGTCCAATATGGAGTGAAAAACAACACCACCTTTCTTGAATGCACACCCAAATCTCCTCAGGCTTCTATTAAATGGCTGCTACAGAAAGATAATGACAGGAGGAAAGAGGTGAGTAATGTCAACAAAACAACAGCTCTGAAAGGGACCTCAGTCAGCATCCCCATCTCAGAATGAAGCGAGATGGCATTTGTGTTTTCATTAGACTATGGATCTGGAGAATTTGCGTGGGCACAGGACATCAGACAGTCCTTTACTTCTATAAATCAAGATAGTCTTCAGTGAGGCAGAAAGGCATTTGACTCCTCAGCTCCGCCAGCTCCGATCAGAGCAGAATAGCTATTAAATAATAATAAAGTCAAGGAACTAGTTAATGAATTTTTCCTTCGCACCTTACTAATTGCAAATGGAAAGTTCGCAGTGCTTGGGAAAGAAGCATAAAGGCAGTAAACTGTGTAAAGTTCAGGAAGAAGTCTTCTTGCAGTGGCCTCTCTGTGCTTTTGAAGAGATAAAAGGCATAAGTGGGAGAAATGTGAAAGGCTTCTTTAGCAAGAACATATATTGACAAAAGCATTTCCCCACCATGCTGCAATCACATTTTCCATTACTGCATTCTCTAAGGCTCTCAAATTTCAGCACTATAATATACAGTAAGATTGTTTATGAGGAACACATCTTTTTTAACTAATATGAAAGGGGAAAAATCCATTTCAGATCTGAGGCAGTTACTGTGTGAATAACAAGGAATATCTTTGTAAGGAAAAATTAAGTGTTATGGTGTCTGTTGATAGTTTATAAATACTGAAAAGCACTACTCTCATAACAGGCCATTTTCCAAAATCAGAGAGGACTTAGAAGATTTTTGTTGAGTCTTTTCAACATATTCTGTCCTGTAGTCTTGGGATATTTAAGCCATGTACTAGTAATGTAGGTGAAATTCTTTAACCCTTTGCTTCAGAATAGCATCTTCCTCTTTTTTCTTGTTGTTCTCCATATCGGTACCAGAATCAATGCAGTTTTAAATAGAAGCAGTCAAAGCAATCAAAAGGTTAATTACATTTCAAGCTGAACTTAATCTCTCAGGTTTCTGAACAATGTCTAAAGAACTTTACAGTAACAGAATAGCTCAGTAAATAAATGAGTTCCTAGAAGTATCAGGTATAATGAAAAGTTCAGTGTCAAAATAGAAAAATATTTCATACAAATAGCAGCACTGTTATTCTTTGATAATGGGGTATTAGCAATTTTTATTTCATAGCTGAAATGACAAGGGACATGTGCAGTCGTTTGTAATTAGATGATGACAAAACAAGCTGTGGTAACTTGCTTTCTTCAGATGATGTGATTATCTCTTGGGACTATCTAAAGCCTGAAGCCAGAAAGGATACAAGAGAGTAGAAAAATTGTTCTATGTTTCCAATGAGGTAACATAGCTGATGCTGTATGAAAAAAACTTTCATACCAGGCTTTAGACTCCACACTTCGGAGTTCTTTGGAAGTTAGCTCCTGAAACTCACTAGCAGTCAAAGTTTTCAGCAGAAGCCACACTCTATTCAATGACAAATCATCCCTCAGCCTAATCCTGTGCCTTTCTTCCATCAAATCTCAACAGCAACCTCTGATGCTGGAAAAGATGTTCACAGACATGTAACCCTGGCAAATAAAAACTTGTTTTCTCAACTTCTCTTCTTGAACATTACAAATACTTTTCTTTCATGAAGATTTACATCTTTATCTCCATCCCAATCAAATCCACTTTAATATAATGAATAAAAATATGGAAGTCATTTTCTCTAGAGACACTCATGTTAGGAGTAGTCTCTTTCCTAACATTAGCAGGCACAGTGGCCACTGTGATTCATGATCACAGGAAGGAAAACATAATGCCCTTAAAAGGTTTTTTAAGAAAGATAGAGACATTTAAAGTAATAGTTAACGAGGAGTTGCAATACTGCATTATTTTGTAACATTCTTGAAAAAATTTCTTCTGTCTTTTCTACCTTTAGGTTAAGCTGAATGAGAGGATCATAGCTACTGAGCAAGGACTTCTCATTCGCTCTGTCCAAGACAGTGATCGGGGGCTTTATCACTGCATTGCAACAGAGAACAATTTCAAGCAGACCTTAGCGAAGATCAATTTCAAAGTGCTGGATACAGAGATGGTGGCCTACATGACAGACAAATGGTCCCCGTGGACCTGGGCCAGCTCAGTGCGAGCCCTGCAGTTCCACCCAAAGGACTTTGTGGGAACTTTCAGTCACTCTGAAATGCAGATGATCAACCAATACTGCAAAGACAGTAGACAGCAAGGTCAGCGGAGGGAAGAACCCCAGAAGATGAGAGGAGACTACAGCAAACTAAAGGCCCTTATCAACAGCAGGAAAAGTAGAAATAGAAGAAATCAGTTACCTGGTTCTTAATTTTATTTTGCTGAAGGAGATATCTTTGTCCTCACTGTAGAGGGCTTATGTTTGTCTGTTGAGAACAAAGTTGTGCAAATACGATGAAAAATTAGATGAAATTACAACAAGCTTCAGAAAAGATCCTCCTCCAAATAAAATGCAGTGTAACTCAAGTAAAGAAAAGATGTGGAGTTTTTCAGTCCTAGATGCTTACTGGCACTAGGTTAGTCTATGTCATGGAAACAAAAATGAGTGTTCTTCTTAAACCAGATTCATATTTAGTATCTCGTTATTTAATTATAGTTGAACAGAAATTTAGTTACAGTTGAACAAGCTCAGTGCAGCATCTTGCAACTCTGGAGCAGTACCAGAATGGTGGTGGAAGAATCTGGATTAAGATGCACACCCCAAGTAGGGTGGTACTAAAATTTCTTTGCACTGCATTTACGAACACGAGTTTCTGCTTGTTTACTAATTAATACTGGGTTTACAATTTTCATTCATTCTTCAAATCATTTAGGTACATGCAGATAAGATGCACGTAAAGTGTAATAGAAATGTGTCATTCATTCAGAGGTCAAATGAAGGAATGAATAGAAGAAAAAAAATATGTTTTTATACTTTGTCAGAGGAAACACTGATTGTTGTGCATAGTATGAGTTGTAATAAATTAATGAGTTCTGGAATGTAACTTAAAATATCTCTGCTCATATTGATTTTTGTTAATATACGATGTTCTGTAACACTACAGAGCTTTATAAGTGGTACAACGCTAACATGAGAATGTTCATTATATGTACAATTTTGAAAGCACCTAAGTGACTTGGGTATTTTAGCTGTTTTCAAAGAATTACACTCCTTTGGTTTGTTTTTCAAAAGACAGAATGTGTAGAGTGTTTATTCAAAAAAAAAGTATTTAATCTATTGCATAGTTAAATTGAGGTCGGCTTGCAATATAGAAACAAGTTATGAACATGTTTGAAAATTTTAAAACTTATTTTTTTCAGCTTCTCAACATGGAAAATGTTATCTAGATTTTTTAAATTAAAGCTTTTCCACTTTTCTTTTTAATGCTGTTTTCACAATTTCCTCCTCTATTCTTTTTTTTCTGCTGTAAAGAATATTCGAAAAAGAAATAAAAAGTGAAAAGAAAGAGAGAAAAACAATATTTTAAAAACTGGTTAGGGTCAAAAACCAAAAAGTATAGCAACATTTTGAGAGATACATTTAAATAGAAATATTTTTGTTTAAGAAGAAGCTGTCAGGCCTATTGAAGTTCGTCTTGTTGCTAATTGGTTGCATGTGCATCAAGCTATCTTGGTAAAAGCAAAAGTTTTTTTTTTTGAGCAACACCAATACCACAAAACAGGGACAGCTGTTCTTTATTTTATTGTGTAAGAGTGTTTCAGAATTCACTGAGTCTCTTCAGAGGAATTAGACACCAGGGAAGTCTATCTGGGGGTTAAATCTGTGGGAGTAACTTAGAAAAATTATGTTTTATTTTATGATGGTGTCAGCTATTTAACTGAGTATGGTCAGCTCAACAAAAACAAAAGCAAAAATTTTTTTTTTAAAAAAAGGAGCTTTCTAAAAAGCCGTTGAATGAAAATAACTTCTAAGCCCAGTAAAGTTAAGAAAAAGTGGTTAGTTCCAGCCAATAACACAGATATTGTACTTTAAAACACAGTTTAAAAAAATTTAATGGGTGTTTGTTGAAACTCTTGGGCATTATTTCAATTCTACACTGGTCATAACTCTGCAGGATGTGGGAAGATACCTCAAGTTTCATGCCAGTGTGAATGAAGATCTAGTGCAATGGAGTTAGCCCTGTTACTGAGATGATACCGTAGTTCTTTACGTCATATCATTGTCACCTGACATAGAATAGCTGGGAAATGGGCCCTGATTCTTTAAACCACTTAAACACTCTCCCTAAGACCTTTTGATGCTGATGGGAGTTCTTGGACTTTGGTTTATGTGCTTAGTGCTTGTTTCAAAGGGGATGGCAATGCCTGCCTGTTCATATATTACCATGTAGCTAAGTGCTTTCCTTAATGAGAGCCTAAATGCACATATCTGCAGCATGCAGACAGTGGTATCTGGGCTCTTCTCCTCATGGAAACCAGTGAGTAGAATTTCTCTTTGACTTCTGCAAGCTTGAATCTGATCCCAAGAGCTGGCAGAATATTTTCTGATGGAAAAAATAAAAATAAAAAAAATTAAAAAAGAAGATGAGTAAGAGAAAAGATAAGACTTCATTTTCCCAGCTGACTTTCAGTGCAGCAAACTGCATTATTATTTTTTTTCCTGAGGACAACTGACTTTTAGAGTGTGTAACTTACAAACCAAAAATTGAGTGCCACAAAATGAAACTACCTCCTGGAATGATATTAGTGCATATGCTCTGTGTGCTGCCATGCTTTTCCTATCTCCTATTCAGTTAGTGTGATCTTAATGTCTATTGTGAGGATCATAATTGCTTCCAGATGGAACACAGTGATTAATAAGTATTTAAGGCTACAATTTGCTCTTTAAGTGGTTAGGTACGGTGATGTTTTAATAGGCCTCCATTAGGCCTCAGAAATTACAGTTACAGTTTTCTAATAGAATATTGGCAATGAGGGATTCCAGTAAAACAATCAGCATAGCTCAGAGTTTTGTGTGATTATAAAATAATATTTTTAAAGCTGCTTCATATACCATTATTATGGTATGACTGTTTAAGGGATTACACTTAAACTAACATTTTTCCTGCTGCATGAAAACTTCAGCATATATATAACAAGCTTCTGTTGGTGCATAAGCAGTCCAAGCTTCCACACTTTAGCAGCCTTCCCCTGTGTTCAGAGTAGTCAAGAGCCAGATGCTCAGCTGGTATGAACTGATGGAACTTCCTTGCTGTCCATTTAGCGACTGTGCATTCTGCCATCTGGGTCTTTGGCCTTGAAATGTACAGAATACACAATCTGCAATTTTCCTTTGTTCCAAGCAGCCCCTCTACTGTAGGCGACACCAAAACTTAGGACTGTTATATTGTTTGTGCTATTTAATACTTCCTATTTTGAGGATTACTAAATAATGTATATAATTTTATTTCTTAAAAAATACAAAAGCAAAAAGACTTCTAGGTATAACTTCACCAAATGTAAAGATATGTTCTCTGCTAAGAAATTCACCGTATAGTGATATTTTTGGGCTATTTTTATTTTGTGTAGTTTGTAAAGTTCGCTGAAATCCTGACCTAACAATATGTTTCTTGCAATTGTTGTTACTGTAGATATGCGTGTTTTATTAAGAAAATCCTGTTTTTAAAAGTGTAGGTAGGTGTATAAGTTTCTAGCACGATGAAACTGTCATTACAGTGAATATGCATTATATAGTGTGTAAGAAAGAACAAAATGTAGTTTAAAATAGTAATATTTAATTGAATATCTAAAATACTATTTGCCTGACAAAATAAAGTGTGTTGCAACAAGTTAATTTTTTTTAAATGCTTCTTTACAGTTGTTTGCTAAAAATAAGGAGCTTTATTTCTTTATCTGAAGAGCAATCCCAAAGGGTTTCATAGGCAAGTGCAAGAAAGTGCTCACAGCATCGGGTATTGCAGCTGATCAGTTCTGAGCCCTTCTCCAGTCTGAACACTCATCAACACAAAGATTTCCAGGGATAGATGAGGAGTCCAAGTTGAATTCTTACAGAAAAGATCTGTTCTGATGACCTTGCATGTAAACTTGCCATCATTTTCTCATTGCATATACATATATGAAATACATACTTTTATATTTTTTTTTCATATTTGTATATGAAAAAAAATGTTTTCTAGTAGCAATATAAACTGTTATCAGCAATACCTGACTCTAAATAAGGAAAGCAGTATATAAATGCTTTCTAATTTTATTACACTTAGAAATGAAGGAAAACAAACATAACCACCCATCCTGCGAAGTCCTGCAAGTGAAAATTTGTGCTGTTCAGCTTTTTCTTTCACACAAGACATTTGCCAAGCAACTCCCCAGGGCAGGGAGGCTGGTGGGTCTGCACTATGGTAGGGACCCACAGCTTGCTCCCATTTCCTGGCTTGTCCTTGGAGCAAATAACCTGCCTGATACTTGCAGTACATTCTTTTTCCCTGCATCTACCATCCAAGCAGTTTTACAATTGTTCTTCTTATCTTTTCTTGGGTTCGAATGGGTTTTATAAAGATAGCATAGAGTGTGCCCCATTTCAAGCAATAATCATTCCTTAAAATACTGACCTTCACAACAAGGTTCTGGGTTAATAAACCTGGTTTTTGAATTCCCAAGTAGACAGGTTCCTGAAAGGCATTATGAAGTGTGAGAGGGACAAGATTACCTAATCCTAGGATTTCTGTACTGGCTGGCTCCGAGATGTGCTGACCCTGGAGAGATAGCTGCACTCAGGCCAGTTCAGGTCTGAAGCTGAGCTTTTGAAGACTCCTTCCTTCTGCAGGAAATGCTTGGATTAGGCTCCAAAAGACAGGGATTTAAGAGCGAAGCATTTACAGACTACAGTGCTCTGAGATACTTTTCACAGGTCCGATCCTCTGTCTTCAAACCTCAGTCAGCCTTCTTCTGATCCTCTCTGCCTTTTTCCCCCGCTTTCTCTGGAGTTGCAGCAAGTTTCAACCACTTATCACTTTGATTCCTTAGCTCCAAGCAGTAGCAAAACAAGACACTTGATTTCTCAGGACATCAGATGCAAGATTTCCAAAGAACTGAGCTTCCTTCTTTCAAATTTGTTGGAACATTTTTTCATGTGGGAGCTACTTGCCTTTTCTAGTGACAAATTCTCTTGAGTGGAAGCAGGATATGAATAAACCACATTCACAGAACCTACTGTGAAGCATGTGCAGGATCCCTAGAAGGGCAGAGCAGTGCTTGGCACATCCTTCTCAATGCATCCACAAAACCCAGAGGGAACCAATGAAAAATGTTGCCTGCACAGGAGGCACTGCTAAAACCACGGTGGCTCCCAATGCTGCGGAGTAATTGTTGCCTATGAAATTAATTGTCATCTCTAGAATTAAGTCAGCAGCTGTTATTCTATGGGGCAGGCCATAAAAGCAAGTTGGGACACTATGACTTTTGTCTAAAGCAATGGACTAGGTCTCAGGAGACCAGTATCTCTTTATCCTTTGAGCTGCAGCTGGTTTGCTAAGCCCATTCTCCCGCAAGGTGGTAAAGGGAGAAGTGACTTCATGTGATATGAACTCAAATAAAATTACACATGGGTACATATCAGCTGGTCCCATATATATATATTCATGCACATAATAAAGACAAATACAGAAGTTTTTCATAAAGTATTTTCTGGTCCATTTAGCTTCTTTTGACATTACTGTACATCCTTCTTCTGTTTCAATTTGATCAGAATCAGACATCAGGTTTTCAAGACATTAATAACCTGTGAGTAGAACAGTTGGTATCTCCAAGAACATTTTAAAAGACAAGCAATTCATCCTCAAAAGCTCTTTCTTCTAATCACTCTTTTTCTAAATTATCTTCTTCTCTATCTGAACATGAATTTCCTTTTTACATCAGGAAACTTTAGCATAGTGTAAGTAAAAAATAAAAAAAAAGCGCTGGCATCTAACATGTCAAACCCAAACAAAAGGCTGAGATTTGTTAATGCCTTGGCATTCTGGACACTCCAAGATGGAAATTTAATGCAGCTGGCTCAGCGGTCAACAAACAATTATTTCACAGTAATAGACTGTCTTGTATCCCTGGACTCATCATTGGAGTCTATATAGAGCTTTACAGAGCAAACAGCATTCACGTATTACTAACACTGTATCAGCTTTGTTACTGATGATTTGAATGCCAAGCCTTACAAATGAACCCAAATGTTTGCTGAGCTTCACAATCAAGACTGTTTAAGCCACAAGGTTTCAAAACATGCAGCACTGTAAAAAGCCCGGAAACTTTTTTTAAAAAATAATAAATAAATAAAACTTGGTTAGCACTGTTATTTGTGGGGAATGAGAGTGAGTATCAAAGACTGTTTTCTATCTGAGCAACCTG